ACTTGCAGTTCACAGGTATCCAACACGCTTGTGTTTCATCACCTACAAACTTTTCTTTCTGAGAACATTGTGATTCTCTGCTTTCAAAGCCCCGGAGTGTTGCTGATGAATTACCAGGAATCTTTGTGCCATGGCGTGGGGATGACATGCAGTGTCAATATTGGCACCTGCCCAGCCCATGCTGCTCAGCTGAAACAAAATTACAGCTTCAGACCAGGTTCTGCAATCCGCTGCCTCAAAGCAGGATGTACAGATGGGGGTGGAAATCAGGCAAGTTACTCAGAAAAATAAACACTAAAAAGGTGTTTGGTTTTCTTAAACCAGATTTCAAAGTTTACAATACATCAAGTTTTAAAAACATCAAAAGTGTTCAAGAACTTTTCCCCCGAAAGGACAAGGGAGGGGCTGTCTGGCCAGAGGGGAGTTCCCAGGAGGGCTGGCAGTGGAACAGGCGCTCAGTATGCGGCAGCACCAGCCCGAGCACACTCCTGCAAATCAGATGGCTCTGCTTTCTTAAGGGAAACTCTCAGGAATGCATCCATCTTACTGCACCAACACAGAGCTGCTGTTCCATATATCTGGTAACATTCTTACTTAAATACTTCTTGAAAAACAATTTCCTGCCTTTAAAACTGTCTCAAAACATATATATACCCAGACAGTTAAAAAACTTTAAAATGGTATATAACAGGAAAATTCACCCATGAATCTGATGTGTCCTTGCTTTTATGGAACAGAATTGTTTGCTTAGTCATATGTGACTGGTAAATTCTGTAATGATTTCTGTTTAAAACTCATTTAAAAAGACATACAATCTGAAACTTCAAACACACTTGAAATAATGGTTTCATTCATAGTACAAAATTGAACTTTGTCAAAGGAACCAGTTTTTGATCTTTTCCCCCTCGAAATACGTCTGGGGAAAAGACATAATTTAACTTGTATCTACATGGTTTTCCACCACACTTAACTTCAGACCAGCAGGAACCTCTGCACAAGTTGGAAAGTCGTTTGGTTCCCATTATGGATAAAAGGGAAGAATGTTCAAAGAAAGCCTCTCTGACTAGAAATATTCTGACATTTAATTCTCCACTTTCATGGAACAGGATCCTGCTTGATGTCCCATCATGAACTCTGCTGTGGTGGAAGGAGGGGTGATGGGAAAGCTCTCCACTCTGAACACCAAATGATTTGTTGGGTTTCCACACCAGACCTGTGCTTTCCTTAAAAACTGTTTCTCTGTTTTAGAGTTCCACGTGGATATTGCATATTTCTCTGTTGTGGATCAGTCTCCAATTACCAGCAAAACAGCCCTTAAAAACATATCTACAGCAAGACACTTAGATATCCAATGAGATTGTTAGCACCACTGACCATGTTGTCTTCACGTTCCAAATGAAAATTATTTACATTATTATTTCAGATTAAAGAGAAAAAGGGTATTTTCCTCCTAGAACTAGTAATTTCTCATATAAATTCAGTTATTTACATTAATTACCTATTATCTATCTTATGGCTATTTTACATATGGTGAGGTACATTTCTTGGGTGTAAGTTTTATTGTAAAACTTTAAAGATTAATTTTCTATTTATAATTGTGTTTACCTGTATTTATAGCCTTACATACCTTTAAGCAAGCTATGCTTTTCAATTGATCTTTTTCATTACAGCATACAGCTATTTTAAAAGGCTGATATCAACTGTTTTTTTTCTGTAGAAAGAAGATGAACCACAAACACTGCTTCCCTGTAATTCCTCCTTTTTTAAAATCACTCTCAGAGGTATTTAGTTCCCATTTGAACCTCTACCCTTTGTTAAACAGGGTGGTCACCAGGCTCAGAACTTCATGGAAGATACATAATAATTAAAAACAAAAGTCACATAAGGCAAGAAGAATTAATAAAACCATCTGAAGAAAAAAACTGAGTTTATAGCTTTTCTGCATCCTTCATCTTCTGGTTTATTGTAAGGACTACTCTTACTGCTTGGAAGCTATCTATAGGTTCTGCAGAAGCTCACATACCCAAGTCTACAACAAGGCTTTTTACATCCCAAATGCAGAATGCAGGACACAGAGGACAAAAACAGCCTACTCATTTTAGCACCATGTGTTTGTTCTCACACAGAGAACTAAGATCCTAGTACAGAATAACAAACAATAGCCCAAGGAAAAGCCAAACAGGACTACTAGTGCTAGTGCACTACTAGCAACCTGTGCACTGGGGTTTTTTAACACAATTTATTAAAATACTAATCTATTTTACTATCTATGTTTGTTTACTTTCTTCATACATAAAGAACCATAGAAAAATTTGCATCTGAAAGGACCACACTCCAAGCAGGACTAACTTCAACATTACATCAGGTTGCTCAGGAACTGTGTGGTGAGTTCAAAACATCTCCATGGCTGGAGATTCTAAAACCTCTCTGGGCATCCTGTCAGCTGGAAAGAATAAAATGATGAGGAACCCAAACAGAGAGTCAGTTTTTCATTCTGAGATACATGTGTGTTTCTGCAATACTTGGATTTCCAAAAAATAACTCATGTTCCCTTCACATTTCCTCTTCTGAAATAATGTCAGGTAGTTGTTTTTTTTGGTACATCTCAAATAACCAGATTTAGACAATGATATTTTAACTAACTTCACTTTGATTTGTTGAACAAATCTGTCTCCTTTTTTGACTCATTTTTAGAAGAATGTTTTTGCTAGATGCCCCTAAAAAGAATATGTAAATACTTAAATCTCTGTCACTTCTACAGTCTTTCAAAGGAATAATGCAAACACTGCTTGTTCACACACTGAAAAAGCTCAGAACACAGAGTCTATTACAGCTAGATATGCATACACCCTTTCTTTTAGTGAGTTTGGTGCAAAGCTGTCTATTCTCAGACACTCCTGCTGGCAACAGTGACCACTACAATTCACCTAGAATTGAGTATCCTTCACAGACTTCTGTATTTTACCTACCACATCAGAAAGTTATTTTACCAAATTTGCTCAATTCTTTATCTTTTATTTCACAACTAAGCCCTTCTCCACATAGCACTCTGAATGCTAGAGAATCATAATAATACACTTACTCCCTCAGACAGGAAAAGCATTATTATTTTTCTCATTATTTCAAATTGGAAACTCTTCCCAAATCAAAACTGCTAAAAAAAAGTGAGCTGAAGGTTAAATTAAAATTTAGTTATCTGACATTTATATCTGAGATTCACAATTGTCTGGCTGCAGGCCAGAACAAGAAGCCTGAAATTACAACAGTGACGAGCCCTGAGGCTTGGAGAGAGACGGTAGATAACCATCTTCACTCTTACCTCTCTGCTAGGTCTTACCAGTTCCTGAGTACGGAAAAGAAGATAGGACTAAAGTCCAACACGGCAAAGGTATGGTAGCAGTGTTAGATATGCCTTCCTGCCTTTAGAAGTGGCTCTAGACAGAGTAGCTGACTGAAGGGAAAATTCTGGCCTAGTCGCTCCACTCAAGAGTGTCAAAATTCTCCCAAACTCCCCTGTTTTTCCATCCAGACCTCACGGGCTCCACTTCTCTCTGGCATTCTCTCACACTCATTTTAGACCCACTATTTCATTCCTCTCAGGTGCACCTGTTCCTCTGGTTCTTCTCACCAGAGTACCCACTTGAGCTCCCCAGCCCTCCCATAGGAGAAGCACTATGATCCCCTGAGCTGAAAGCCTCCAAATCCGCTCCAGCTGCAGGGTTTCTAAGGCAGCGGCATTCCCCCACCTCCATAAATGGCACGGAGCAAAAGGACTGTATATGGATAGCAGTTACCACCAATCAGTCTGGATGGGACTGCAGAGGAGAGAAATATAAAAAAAGGGAATGATTATTTTCCCTGTGCTTTCAATCCCTCCAGAAGGAATGGTTCCAAGAAGTGATGTGAGGGGAATTCTAGCTTCAATAGTGTTTGTACCTGCAGATTTTCCTCAAGGGTCAACATGCTGAAGTAGCCTTCTCAATGCTAAGATGAAGATATTAGGAAACTTAGTTTGACAGCAATGACTAAATTAGATGGTATCGAGTTTGTCCTCTGCCACACACACCTACGAGTCAACACATTTAAGGTGCCCCAGTGCTAAGGAGATGAACTCAACCAAGACTGTGGCAGTGAAGGGGGACAAAGAAACGCATTTCAAAAGCTCTGGTAGCATAACACACTTCCTTTGACAACACAGATACTCCCAATTAGCTAGCTAAGCTAAGTGTCAGCTCCCCATTCAATGCTAGATTATTATGAGAGAGTCTTTATAAGTTTTAACATTAAAAACAGTTATACAAGACTATAACATGCCATATGTCAGGAGAGGCTTATCAGCTTTACTCTAATGTACTGCAGAATTCTGGTCATTGATGCAGAGTCTAAATTTCTTCAGGGCTAGTCCACTGAAATCTCACAGGAACAAGGACATATCAGCATCTTCAACTCCATCCCGTAGTGAGGATAAAAGCAAACACAAGAATTTGTATAACTGATACAGGTTAGAAAACATCAAACCCAATGAACCTGCTTCAGCCCTGAAGAGGACTTAAAGCATTTACTGGATTCTGTTCTCTTCAACACAGACTGTAACACAGTGCCTTGACTGCACAGAACTGACACACAGACTTTGTTTTAGTTTCATCTAGGATGAGAAGCCTAAGAAAACTCACTTTTAATAAGCTTTTGAAAGCTCATAGAGCCACAGTTATGCATTATAGAGCATGTACACTCAAACTGGGTCATGAAGTTTTTTACTCATTTGGATGAAGTAAGGAGTTGAAAACATGATTTCAAGTAAAGCTTTTCTCATTAAAATAAAGGCCTAAAATACAAAAAGCTTAGCAATCACTGTTCCTTGTTTTAATGATGGCCTCTCTCCAAAAAGAGATGACATAAACAGAAAAATCATTACTTTTTTTTTTCTTACTAATAATGTGAGAGGCTACATAACACATATTCACTCAAAGTGTCCTTTAAAAAAAATCTAAGATACTTACGGAGTCCAAACCCTTGGAAACGCAGCAATTTCTTCTGGTGTATATTCATCTAACCTCTTGGGGACTGCACGTGGCTGAGGAATCTCTTGCAGAAGGTTCTTCTGTATATCTTCTGGAATAACCTGAGGCAGGTGAGAACAGTCTTAACTATCTCACGGTTTAAAAAACAACACCACTCCCAAAGACAGACCAAAATTTGTCAATACTACTGCATTCTTCATGCTAAGTGTCTGAACTAAATATAGAAGACAATCTCACACATGTCATGGATCTCACAGTTTTGTGAAATAATAAAGAAAAAAACATCAACATTTCAACTATGTGTATATACACACATATATATATATATTTAAAAAATCAGCTTGATTTTTTTTTCATTTACCTTCTTAGGACACAAGTATTATTGCTAACACTCCCTCTTCACCTCCAAATCCCACATGAATGAAAATGTAACTGCATGACTACTCACATCCTCTGGGAACAGGTGTAGCCTCTGCATCATAGTTCTTCTCTGAAGGTTTTTTGGAAGCATTCTATAAACAGTCAGTTTAACAATCTGTAGAAAGATAACATGGTAACAAATAATCAGACAGGTTACAGATAATATGAAAAGGTAAGCTGTGTTTCCCTCTGTCCATTCCATTAGGCACTAAACCATTTTGCAGTCACCTTCTTCCATGCTGAAGAACACATTCAGCAGGTGCTCTAGACTAATTCAAAAAGAAGAAATACTTACTCCCCATCATATAAAGAGTTACTCTGACAGCCATATAGAAAATTTCAGCTTAGAAAGTTAAGAGCTATATTTAGCATTGTGGATGATTGCATATGATCATTCAACTTCAAAAATAACTGAGAAGCTTGTGGTTCTACAATAGCTCTACAATACTCCATATTGTATTGCACATTTTTATACACATATTATTGAGGAAAAAAATAAAATAGGCTCTGACACATTTCCCAAGTGTTCCCAGCAACTAGTTTAACAGTGTAATTTGCTGTGTTTGAAACTGCTTTATAATTAATGCTTTGTATCTTAAGCAAAGCTGACATACCAACACACTCCATTATGAACATATTATATATATTTATAATGATTAGTTACAGATGAACAATCTCACTTCTGAGCATCAGGAATGAATAGAATTTGTACATCTACACTAAATAATGCTCAATGAAAAGTAAACAAAGTTCAACAGGATTTTCTCTTGGACTCTAGTATAGATGCCTCTAATTTAAATACAAAACACATTGTTATGGAATTCACCCAGACGGGGAACATTTGTACACGTAAAACAAGGCACACAACTGTAGGAGACACAAAGGGTTTTACAAAGGACAGCAAAGCATTTAGAGGTAGATTTACATGCAATTCTGTAGGTAAAATGTGTGTTCCAAGCCACCTGGACATAAACTATTTCTAAATCAGAAACTACCCAGGCACACTTAGTGCAATGTTAAGCTCATGTCAATAAGACACACTGAAATGCAGGGCACTAAGCACAAAAAAACCTTCCAGGCATCTGGACATTTTGAAAAGTGTATTGAACAAAGTTGCTTTTTTTTATAACATTAACTAAAGGAGTTCAATTGAAATTTTAGAGACAATCACTGAGTTCCCAGCTGGAACCATGTAGTTAAGACAGATTTTCAGGTGTTATGCAGCCAGTACCACAGATCCATGGACAAATACAGTAAATCAAGATGACAGAAGAAATATATAGGTCAGGCAGAATAATCTATAATGTTGATACCTTCTTTAATAAAAATTAATAAGCATTTATTAAAAACCAAAGATGAAAACTAATGCTTTTGAGGGATAAAAATTATTCATGCTTGTACAGCAAACTGCAGTTTATTTAGATCAATATACGGTTAGACAAAGGCAAGATGAAGACCGAAAATGAGAGTGCACCAGTTTACTTCACTGAATGCTGAAAATGAAGTGAGACACCAAAACGATACAAGAAAATACATAGATATTAAAAGCCCTCCTACATTAGTAATTTTCATTTTGTACACTTATTTTCCTTTCTATCCAGCATTTTTCCTTATAGTAAATGAAAGATCAAAATACATCAGATCTAAACCAGCAATCCCAGAGACTTCACAACACATTACCTAACTGTGGGGATTTTTTTCTTTATCTAAAAATTACTTTTAACTTCAGGCTCTGATAGAACCAGTATTAACTTCTTAGACTAATAAACTGTACACACACAGTCCAACATGTTACCTTTGACCTACAGATACACAGAGGTAGTTATTTAATGATTTCAGTCCAATGAAAAGAGAGTTTAAAATACTTTAATGAACATTATGTTCAGTGTTTTGTTTCTTCAAACAACCAGTGTTCATGACTGGTTTTTGATCTTCCTCTGCAGCATGTGGCACAGCCACCTGTTGAAATGAACCAGTGTGGTAGAACAGCTGGTCTGTTATGGTTATAGATACTTCTGACTGGTGAATATGTTCTGATTTTTCTAGCCAAAAGAGAACAGTTCAGTAGTAAAAATGTGCCTATTAAAAAAAAGTCCACTCTGTAAAGAATGACTGATTTTATATGCTTAAGTTTTAACAATGAAAAAATACTTTCAATATTGTGTACAGTTACTGCAGCACTGACAACCTCAGGTTGTGACAGACTTACATAAAAACAGGGCTTGAAGAATGCTAATGGATAATGAACGAGCATGGATAACCATATACCCAATAATGGTTTCTGTAGGTAAGTATGCTAAATGCAACAAGCATGATCCAAAGCATGCCTATGGTACATCGGCCAATCTCCATGCTGTTCAAGAACTCATTTGCCTTTCCCTGTCCTCTCACACATGCAAGAAGTTCATAACCACAAGACCCTGCACAGAAAAATCATGCTCACATGAAGCAAAAACCACTTTTTACTGCCAGGAAACCATGGAGCCATAGAACGGTTTGGGTTGGAAGGGACTTGTGAAGGTCACCTAGTCCAACCCCTGCAATCAGCAGGGAAATCTTCCACTAGACCAGGTTGGGTCAAAGCCCCATCCAACCTGACCTTAAACACTTCCAGGGATGGGACATTCACAACTTCTCTGGGACAGCTGTTTCACTTTCTCACCACTCTCACATTAAAAAATTTCTTCTATATGTCCAATCTAAATTTAAATTTCTTTCAGTTTAAAAACATCGCTCCTTGTCCTGTCACTACGGGCCTTGATAAAAAATCTGTCCCTATCTTTCTTATAGGTGCTGTTTATACACTGAAATGTCAAAATAAGGTCTCCCCAGAGTCCGCCCTTCTCTAGGCTGAAGAACTCCAACTCTCTCAGCCTTTCCTCATAGCAGAGGTGTTACATCCCTCTTATCATCTCTGTGGTCCTCCTCTGGACCTACTCCAACAGGTCCATGTCTTGGCTGTGCTGGGGGCCCCAAGCTGGACACAGTACCCCAGGTAGGGTCTCACAAGGGCAGGGCAGAGGGGGAGAATGACCTCCTTCACCCTGATGTCCACGCTGCTTTTGATGCAGCCCAGGATTTTGATTTACTGCAAGGTCATTAGTCCACCTGTGGAACAGAAGACCATACAGGGAGCCAGGACAGAAAGCAGTGCTGGAAAACGACTAGCTTCCTTCACAGTAACTTCTGCCTCAAAGACTCTTCTATGAGCCAAAACAAATTCAAACCCAACTCCTGGAAAGACAAAGTTTACATCCAAGTCCTTGCCCAAAATTCTGCCCACACCCTCACTCTAACTGGTGTGATGACAAGACAAAGAAGCCAGTAAAGCACAGGCCTAACTGAGGTTGCACAAACTGCTTTTGCACCTAGAGTAAGGCTGTGTAGCAGAAAAGGCAGATAAAACCAGCAATACTTACAGGGTGTTAGGTAAGCAAGGGCTCTCATGTTACGTGAACATGCTCAAATTTTATTAAAAATACACCAACCCTAAATAAAAAAGTATGGAATTGCAAGAAAAAGTCTGCTACTGAACCCATGCAAAACCCAAACCCAGACTCAATGCTCCCTGAAAACACACATCAGAATGTGTTGTTTCTTTCAGGAATTAACAATAACAACAGATCTTTCTATATGCCTGTAATATACTTCTAATAAAAGACAAATATTATTGTTTTCTATGTGATTATGCTTACTTTGAACTATTAAAGTAACTAGAGTTTAATTTTATATGAAAGTTATAAAACCCAGTGATTTCTGTGGGATTTCAGACTGGCGAAGAGGTCTACCTATCCACAGGTTCAAGGCAACCTTGATCTCAGTTTAAAACTAACTAGCACAGTTTAACAGTTTATTCAGTTGTGTATGGATTCCTACTGCCTCCTCCTCCTCTACCTTTAGTACTAGTAACCTGTAAAATTCCATGTCCTCATAAATACTCACTCCTAAAGACCATGACACTTTCTCCATCAGGTAAAGACATCCACCATCAGATGTATACAGACACTACAGCATTAATATTTGGAGATTTTTGTACTACTGGAATGCTGTTTGCCCCAGTTTCTTTTGAATTACAAAATTCCTATTGGCTTTAATTACATCTGTCATCTTGAATATTGCAATATCCTTTTCCCCAAGTTTGCTAATTAATATACTCACGGCATAGACATGCTCTTAATAAGTTACATGATACTATGCTTTTAGTTTCCAATTTAAAGGGGTAAGTAGAAGGAGAGAAATCTGAAGGCTGTTCTATTAAAACTCTTGCCCTTTCAATCCCTTATTGCATGTTACTACATTTTATGAGTACAAATAAATTAAAATGTATTTATTTGAAACACTATGAGCCTTAAACATTTCAATTTTTGTGACAAGCTTTGGCTTACGTGCAACTTGCAGACTATGTCTAACGGAGAACAAGTTCTGAGAAAGATTCTTTGCCAGATAAAACATACTTTAAAGATGAAAATCAACAGAGCAATACCACTCCTGGTACTCAGAAGCACAAAATAATTGGCTGAATTTCCAGGAGAAAGTCTACCATAATAGCTGAATTAAGTCCAATAATCAACAGGAAGCAATTCTAGAACATGGGAAGGACACAGTGCTCCAGAGAAAACAAAGTTTTTAATTACAAGGCATACCAAAAAAACACTAGAAGAATTTCAGGAGATACACCAGTTTCTCAGAGGTACACTTTGATACATCATCTTCCTTCTACCAGTTCATGGTTTTCTATTCTGTATACAATATTGTTCTTTTCACCACATGTTATAAAAACATACAAAGAACTTCATCTTTCTAGCTCTGACAGTTGTACAAGTAGTACAGCAACAGTGAATGTACTCAATGCTGCCATAAGAATCATTTGGTCACAGACAAATTAAACTTCCACTGTATGCCATTTGGTTTTCCACTACTGTTCAGCACTTAAAAACATAGAAGTTTAATGTTTTCTTTAAATTAATATACTAACTTGCCTTGCATATTCAAATAAGGAATAGATTAAGATCTTTTTAACAGAAGTATTTATTTTTGTGTACTATGAACCAAAAGACCAAGTCAGCTCTAAGACTAATTCAGATCACCTAGAGGTTTCAAGATAACATGTTCCATAACAATATTCTCTTCCCCATGCCAAACTAACTTCTGTGTGCGTGCTAAGCCAGACTTTGAAGTTTTGCTCTACTTAATTAAAAAACATTATTCCACAGTAATAAAAGAAAACCGTATTACATCTAGTGTTTCAGTAACTGGCTTGTAGCATGTACGTATTATTGTATCGAGTATCCCTTACTGATGCAAAGAAAATATGTTCTCAAATACCAACAGCAAGATTTAACTGTGTTTTCTGTCTGAGCTTCTCTTCAAAAGACCATTATTATGCAGATACAATAGCAAGTCTATACGTGCAAGCAGTTGCTAAAGGGCATTCAAAAGGAGAATTAGAACATTTTAAGCCCCTTCCAATCAGTGCCAGCAGCTGAACAAACCAGAACCCTGACACCCCCGGAGGCTCCCTCCCAGCACATTTCCACTGAGCTACTCTGCTTCACTTAATAATCTTCCCTATCAGGTAACATTCATTCTGAACAATTATTGCCCCTTATTTCTCTGTCAAAGGTGATACAATCTCTGAATACTGCAAAGGTCAGTCCTCTCACTGAGCACTTGTTCTTAGCCAAAGGTAATTTTTTTTTTTTGGGGGGTGAGTTTCTGATGCAGCCAAAAAAAAAAAAAAAATCAATCCAAGTTTTGCTTACCTTTCAAATTAGAAATAGAATAACAATTGCTTGAAAACTTTGTCCTGACAGGATTACTATCTGGTTCTACAGATTAGATCTGATAACATATTTTGCAGGCATTTTAATGAAGAGCTGTAATATTTTCCTAGAAAGTTTTTTCAAGTAATTTTTGTTCCCTCTCAAATCTGAGATTTAGAAGTACATCTTTTAGTCTTTCTGTATCAAGTAGTTAGTAGCCTAATTTTGCAAGTGCTGGTCCCATGCCTATCAGTGGTTTTCCAGCTAAACAAAACTTCTGCACGTTTTATCAAAAACAAACAAGAAACCCCCAAACTTCTATGAATTCCAAACAGCTGCATCTCACCTCACAGGGTTTATATGTTTCCTTTATTTTCAAAAGACTCTTGGCAAAGAAAATGCACCATACCTTTCAATTAGATTTTTCTTAGCAACCTCCAATGGAAATTAATGCTGCCTAATAATCTTCTAAGGGATTATTCCTACCATACAGAATATTAGTATTATATTAACTGAAGAACTGAAGTGGCTGTTTCAAACTACAACAACAGTTATGGTGCATCTAAAGAACATATTTAATACTCTTGCATATGAGTGGTCCAAGAATTTACACTAAAACTAAGTCAGACAAATAAAAGGCTGAAATATGAAGAAGCTTTTTTTCTTCAGTAAGCACCTCCTAAAGTAGCCCAGCACACTCCAATAGATCACAGCTATCCAGAAGAGCACACAACTGAAAATACTAGAAATTTTAAACAGATTCACAGATACTTCCCTCCTCGTGCCACCCAATTTAATTCACAGGTATTAAAGGTAAAAATATGTTAGACTATGTACTTTTGTATCTTTTTTGTCATTTTTTCCCTTCCATAAAACCAAATTTTTCTGAAGTGCTAAAAAACTTGGCACAATGAACATGGAACTTTAAGCCCTATACAAAACATGAACTATGCAGACCTCTTTTTGTATTCCCTGCCCCATATTAACATAAAAGATACTTGGCAGTGGAAAAAAAAAGTAATATTTTGTCAATCTCAGAGACAAAATTACACATTTGAGATTAAACATTTATGATTGGACAGATTGGGTTTTTTATTCTTTTCAACAAAGAAAAAACGCCATGGACTACAAATGGTTGCCATGGAAGGCTTTCAAGACGTGTCTGGATGAATCTCCAGCGGTGTTATGTGACATAATAGCCAACACTACTCTGAGTGGGAGATTGGACTAGAGATTTCCTGAGACTCCCTTCCACTTGAACCATCCTATGACCCTATGAAAAAAGGCACATGTACATTCAAATTCAGCACAAATCCTTCTGAAACAATACCTACCACCTGCAAGGAATACAAAACTTCAAAGTTAGTAGGATAGACACAATGAGGTCAACTTCCATTAAGTGAGAATATCAGATCATCATCGTGTGTTGGTATCTTATGAAGGAACTAGAAATGATCAAGGATGATACTACAGTAACCTTGACTAAATTCTGACAACTATACTTATGACTTTTCAGCCCCCCACGAAAGCATAAACTATAGCATTTTGCATCAAATTACTCATTATAATTTTTTTAATTAGCTATTAGCTGTGAACCAGGTTTTCCTAAAAAGTCTCTCTGTATACTAGAAACAAAACTATAATAGAAAAATATTTATCTTGGGGATTTGTATGTTTGAATTCAGATACACGTAAGTAAAGACAATGCTAAGCAGTATTGCAGTCCTACTATAAACACACACTCTTCGAGTCTCATATAAAGTGAAAATAAGTCATATCCATTGCAAAATCTCTATGTAGCAAGATTACAACATCCTTTTCCTTGGAAGTAGTCTCCTCCATTAATTTACTGCCTTACTTTCTCTAAGAGCACTATTTCCAAAACCAGTGCTGACTCATCTAATGAAGCACTACCAGGATGAGATAGCAGGAGTCATTAAGTCCAAGGGCAGAGAAAATGCAGTAGCCTGTAACATTTTACAGAATGAAGACTTTGATGCCACAGGAAGATAGTCTGCTTCCTACAACCTACCTAATTCCACTGGCTTCCCAGGAATTGAATTTGACATGATTAAAATGATTAAAAGAGAAGTGAAATACAGTGATTTATCGAAACCTCCACATTAACTATGTATCATGATTTCAAGATCCATATCTTACTTAGGCTAGGCATTGTTCTCTTTACAGTACTACTTTTTCAGGTTTTAAAAGCTGGTTGCAAAAATAAAACCTGTTAGTAAAACACCATCACAATTTCCATCATTGTCATATCCCAATGTATTTCACGCCAAAACAATTCAAGTAGTAAATAAATACAACAGCTACACATACAGAGCATATCTTGCCAAATTACCATTCACTGCTACTAATTATGACAAAAACACATCTGAGATATCTTTATGAGAGGGACACCTGAATGCTTCATCTTAAATAGAATGACAGAGTTAATTGCTGAGGACTCTCCACAATTCTGTTAAAAAAATAGCGTTTCATTAAATTAGACCAAGACTTGAGCCACATCACCATTTGCTGAGCCTCTGTCCAACATGCCTTAGTTTTTGGCAATGCATCTAATCCTCCTCTGTTTGCAGAGAAATTCATCTATGAGTTTGGCAAGAAAAGAGGTATTTCAGAATGAATGCCAGAAGGCAATTTATAGAACATCCAGTTCTCATGCCCTAACAAACAAGTTGTGTTACACTGCCTCCCAGTGCACAGCATCTGCCTGAAGCTCAAATGAAATGGGTTGAAGAATCCATTTTAGACATGGACCTACCAGCAATTCCCAAAGGAATTACAACTATCTTAGAGGTTGTTCACAAAAGCACTTAAGTTGTTTTTAAAAAAATTCTATACAGAACATAATATTGAACTGTAGGATATAGAAACTGCAATAGCAGAAAAAAAACGAAACAGGCAAGTTCATATGGATTACTTTTTTTATTGATTACTTGCTCAACATCTTGAATAAGGCAGTCTTGGGACAATCCAGGATTTCTAAATCACTGATAATAAGTAACTGACAAAACCCAAGAATTTTGCAGATAAAATTTCTCTAGGAAAAGGATGAAACACTTTTATATTTTATATATAAGGTGACTCAAATGAAAGCATTTAAAAGTCAAAATTAAACATAACTATCTATTAATCTCTGTGGGCCTCAAATCATGTTCTGAAACATTAGTACTTATTCAATACTCCAATGCTGACCATTCAACACCTTAGTAAACGTAATTTCATAACTGTGTAAGTCAATGTACCAAATTGTTCATATCTTCCTCAATTTTTTAATCAGTACAAACACATGAACACTGATGTTCAGGATTTATAACAGTCTAACACAGACAGTAAAGAGGTTCACATTCAACGTAATCACCATTTCCAGTTCTTTCACAGACCATGAACGCACAGCATTGTAAAAAAGATTTTAAAAACCAGCATCAATTAACAAAACCTACACCTGAATTTTACCGGGAGAAAGACACAGGTGCACTTTCTAAGATTTTTAAGATTAGCATTATTCCTGCTGGGTCTTAAAAAAACAATAGAGTCCTTAAGCTGAAGCTTAGCTAAGTCAAATTTGAGGCAGTTCACTTATGAGAAAGGTCAGGCCCCTGAAACTAAAAGCAAGTGAATAAGTGGAAAATTAGTGAAGCAAACGAGCTTGATTTGCTCCTTTGGACTTCACGGAAGAACAACGAAAATACAAATTACAATCTAACCCCGAAAACATGTTGTTTACAAAAACGGTATCACAAGTCAAGCTTTTAAGAACGATTAGCCAAATGTCTGTAATTCAGCTTTAGAGAAGCAGGTAACTGATCCCATTTGTTTAGGGGAACTAATTTACTGAAAAAAAACCAGCTTCACAAATGGAAGGGAAGAAGGGGAAACTTACAGCGGTTGGATCCTTCAAGTGGAGCTGAGTTGCTGTCACTTGTTTGAAACCACCAGGATAACTAGAAAAACAGAACAAACATACAAGCTGAATTCTACATGCTCAAGCACAACGTTAACACAGGTATCACTCCATCTTGAACAACGGTGTAATGGTATTAGAAGCCCTCAAAAAAGGAAGTTGTTCTCATGAGGCCAAAAACTGTATTTTATTTGAAAGATTCTATCCTGTCAACTATCCAAGTTTGACACCATTTGTAATTTTTTATTCACTTGAGTATTAAAAAGCCTGTGCTTCACAAGCAGATGGATATATCTTTAAAACTGCTTATTAAATATACCACAACAGCTACAGAGTACAATGGGAGTAAGATATGCAAAACCTGGAAATATTTCCAGACGATCAAGACTCAAAACTAGTCTGTGGATGACATACAAGACATCCATATTGAGTAGTATTTATTATTTTCTTACTATTTTAAATAAACCTTAGCAAGACTTGGCATATCTACAGTTGTAAAATTTTACTTTTATTGCAATGGATCCATCTGTCTAAAGTCTATGGGATATCTTGTGGATAACTGCACTAATTCAGATTTATACATAAGCTTTAAATGAATGATAGAGTGAAGTAAGAAATTACATGGAAGTCAGGTTAAGCTGGGTTTCATTTTGATTTAACTACATTATTAGGTATCAGCCTAAGTGAAATGAAAATAAGCCCAGCATCAGCAAGACGTCCACAGGGCTGCATGGAATTAAGTATTAGTTTTAACTGTACAATTCTTATGCAAGTGCTTCAACTTACACATCAGTTTTACTGAAAATTTTAAGAAGTCATACGGGGAGTGGAGAAAAAAAAATCACACATTTATTTCCATCAACTCTGAACAAGAATTTCTCAGCGATTCAGCAAAGAAATTTCAGGATTGCAACATTAGCACCAGCAAAATTAGCTTTTTCAACATGATTTATACATCTCCCAAATGGATACATTTTGACACTTAGAGATTATTATTTATAGTAGTATCATTGTATAAAATAGGAGCACTGATGGGATCACTGCCACACTGTCTGTAATTGATTATTGCGCTCCCGTCTGTAAACAAGTTATGTCTGCCAGAATAATATATTGTACACTACTGTATGCAATAATGTAGTGTATATCAGTACATCTTGAGAGCATTTCATTTTTTACTAGTTTTTCCAATTTTTTTCATCGTCTAATTAATTTTATTTATATTTATATATAAAATAAATATGTAGTGTCAATAGAAATATCTTATTACACACTAAACAGAATAGTCCAGATCATTGTGTCCAGAGGTTCATACAAGACACAACCTGGTTCACCAAATCTGTTTACTTATTCAATTGTTCTAACTACTTTTGAGTTAGATGATGTCCCTAACAACAATACACTGGGGATAAAAAAAGGAAAGAAAAGGAAAAAAAGGAAGAAAAAGGTTTGCATCATTTTAAACATTGTAATACATGCAATCTAAACCAAAAACCCCCCAAAACCGTAAGTAGGAATTCCCTTTTGAACCAATATGCTATAAAAAGACTTTCATTATCAAGAAAATATGACATTAAATTTATCACAAGCTCTTTTGATTATATACTATAAATCTTACCCAGTGTGTGAAGAATATACTTTCTGCTCCCACTTGTTACCAGAGAAGGCAATATGTCTTGTATTTATTATGACAACATGATCTCCACAGTCATCTACAAGGTTTAGAAATAAGTGGAAAATATTAAAGACAACCATAGGGGAAATCAACCAAAATAACAACTATTATGTGTGTGATACATATGTAGTAGCACATAAACACGCATTTCATAAAGCTGAAATTTAAAGATCTGAGCTTTTTGAGTCACACTATCCAAATCAGCACCTAAATACCAACCTTAATTACAATATTTTTTAGTACTGTCAGGTTAGAAGGCAGGCGAGAAGTAAAATACCACCAGACTACATAATTAAATCATTGCAATTATTCAGCTAAGATCTGGAAGTGTGGCTTACAGGCAAGCGTATTATTCTACTCAACACATTATGCTGCATATGCACCTATATTTAAAAAAAAAAAAAAACAGGGAAAAAAAAGGTTAGTTCCAAATGATGCAAAATATTTATTTTATTTCATAAAAGCAGTACCTATGTTTACTGAAGGACTGAACATTTTGGGTAAGTAAAATAATTCTATTAAATAATTACACTTTAGGGCTAAATATATAAAAGAAAAAAAAAGTTTAGTGTTGGGAGCAGGGGGAGGGAGAAGGGAGAAAAGCCCTAAAAAATCCTCCAATAGCTCTGTTGGGAAAACTCCCACATTTTCATCAATCAAACAGAAGTGAATGTTACAGCACATACACATGTTTAGACTTATATCAGCAACTTTAACATCAAAAGTGTTTTAAGTGCAAAGTCTATAATCTATCACCCTGTCTGAAACAGTTATTTTACTAGATCTTCTATACTGATAAAGTGCTAATAAAACCCAAACTATCTCAAAAATACCATAGAAATATGAGAAAAGAGTAGTTTTTCATTTCAGAAATAATGATCTTGAACAGCTATATAACCCATAACCACATATTCAATCAGCTGGAAAACTATTTGTCCAGAGGTCACTCTCACTTCCATCACTATATTAGAACACAAATATTTGAAGAGACTCACTTGATTAAAACATTTTTGAGTAGATAACAAAGCAGCTGTACAAAGCAGGGCTTAAATTGAACATGTATTTTTTATAGCAGCACATAATTAATCAATGCAAGTTTCACATCTTATTTAAGTTTTTTTACAATTTTTTAATCTTGTGTTCTTTTAATGCAATTTAAACATCTTCACTGACAGTCCAGCTCTAAAAATACTGTGTGTCTACATAAATATTAGGGAACGGGCATTGGTTTTTTTGGTTTTTTTGTTGGGAAGATGACAGAATAAGCTCATCTAAAGAAATTTCTGCCAACGGTTTTCCACTTGCATGAACACCAAATTAACAATCTGGATACCAAATCAAAAACAAAACAACAAAAACATCCCTACAATGTTATTCTGTCTAAGGAATTTTTATTTCAAAGACACTAAAAGATTTGTTAGTTCATTAAAAAAAAAAAGCGTTAAGTACATCAACCACGAATTTTTGCATACTTTGCTCTCATAGGGAATATCAAATGTCTCAGTAGTAGTTACCTCTCAGTGTCAATCTCATGTGTAATGCGAATTTAGTACTGATTTATAGAACACTCCAAACCAAATACAGTTACCCTTGAAATGACTTTCCAGGACTTTATAACTTCATGGACATAGAAGTGTCAAAGATCTTTCCCACAGAAAAATCAAAACCTTCCTCTCAGCATCTGCTTTGTTTTTCAGACAGCCTTAAGTCTCCAGTGACATCTTGTGGATACCACAAAATCTGCAGCAGCAGAACTCTGGTATTTAAAACATCTTTAGACAACTACAAATCCTACCTTCTATTATGAAACAGTTCAAGTATAGTTTTAGTATGTACATTTCACATGCATGAACAAACTTCAAGGTTTCCTTTATGTTTCAGTAATCTCTTGAAAAATCTGCATGGGTGTTAAAGGAAACACTGGACCAGCAGTATGAGGGATCAACCTTTTACTATTTATAAAACACTTATTCCTGTGAGACAGGCACTACAGTACTACAAGTAATGAACGATAGCACAGATGCATTGTTACTGCTGAATCTTCTAACTTGTAGAAATGTAACATGATTGTTTTATTTAAACAAGAAAGTATCTTTCAACAATGATTATGTCTCCCATAGTCATTGTTGAAAGGTTCCAGCCTGATCATCACAGGACGTCTGAGACAGGAAGGGGCCTCTGAAGGTCATGTCATCCGACTGCCCTGCTAAAAGCACGGCATTTTTTTAAAATCTCCAAGGATGGAGACTCCACAACCTCCTGGACAACCGCTTCCAGTCATTCTCACAAATATGTTTCCTGATGTTCAGAGGGAACCTTCTGTGTTTCAGTTTGTGCCCACTACTTCATGAAGACAGAACTTTTCTGTACCTTATTCAGAATGAAGAAGCGCTCCAAGACTGTGGTGCTGTGTGCATACTGAAAGGTAGCATTCAGAAAATCTAACCAAGAATTGCATCAGTGTTTCATTATGTGCACTGTGAATTAAATCTCTACATCTGAAATCAATGCAATGAAACATATTTTGATTTTTTTAAAATAATGAAAGCACAACCTACTGTAATTCAGCTACTTAAAATAAACTATAAATTCATAACATGCTTGATATGCATTGGTAAAGAAACAACATAAAGTTGTAGAGGGGTATGATGAAAAAAGATGAGAAAGAAAACAAATTAATTTATAATTTACAAGCAAATGAAAAATGTATTCTTTTATATCAGGCTTGATTTTAAAACTGAAATTGGAATAAACATACAAGTGAAAGAAAGCAAATTTGCTTCCAACCCCTACAACACTCACTTAGTGCATGATAAATAGGTTTATGTTTGCCTTCAAGTCTCATGACAGTCGCAGCTGCTATTTTTCCTGGGGGCTGCATCTTCGCATCCAGGAGGTACCAGGCTCTGCCAAAAGTGGCCCATTGCTGAAGAAAAAGAGAGGCAGTACTTAAAACAGTAAAAGCTCACGATACCACAACCCAGCTTCTTTAATTAAATCAACGCTTCTTTTACACTCAAAAATACTGGAAGAAATTAATTCCCATCGACATCCCCTTAAAATAACCGTTAAATGGACGGCGCACCACGATACAGAACGATGTACATGCATAACACCACTGAAAGGTTACAGGCCCTGAGGATTTTGTTTCAAAAATGCAGATCTCCTGCTGGAAGCCCCCATTATCGCTATTCGAACTGTAACATCGCTGCAAGATATTTAATGCCCAACGTCCCCGTCCCGCCCGGTGAAGGGCACAGCTCCCAGGCCGCGCACAGCCCCGGCCGCTGCGGGGATCTCTGTTCCTCGGACGTGCCGCACACGGCGGCTCCTGCCAGGGGAACCCTCAGCACCGACACTGGGGCCTGCTGACCCGCTCCCTCACGGCCCCGGGTTCCGAAAGCCCCGGCTCACCTGGGCGGCCTTGGTGTAACTCGCCATCCCGCCCCGCGCCGAGGGCCGGGAGCGCCGGGGCCGCCGCGCCCGCGGGAAGCGGAAGCGCTGCCCTGCGAGGGGCGGCGCCCGGGCGGCAGCGCGGGACCTTCGGAGCGGCCCCGGCCCCGGCCCTGCTCCCGTCCCGGTCCCCGCCCGGCCATGGACCGCTACGTGCTGCTCCTGAGCTGGGGGGAGCGCAGGGCCGCGGGCGGGCCCAGACCAGGTACGGCCGCGGGGTCGGGGCTGGGGCCGCGGGGCCCGGCCGGGCGGGCCCTCCTGGATCCTGCCTCCTTGAACCCCTCCTGGATCCTGCCTCTTTGAACCCCTCCTGGATCCTGCCTCCTTGAACCCCTCCTGGATCCTGCCTCTTTGAACCCCTCCTGGATCCTGCCTCCTTGAACCCCTCCTGGATCCTGCCTCTTTGAACCCCTCCTGGATCCTGCCTCCTTGAACCCCTCCTGGATCCTGCCTCCTTGAACCCCTCCTGGATCCTGCCTCCTTAAGCCCTCCCTGGATCCTTCCTCCTTAACCTCCCCCCGGATCCTGCCTCATTAAACTCTTCCCGGAGCTGACAAACACTTGCCTCCTTGAACCCCTCCTGGATCCTGCCTCCTTAACCCTCCTGGATTCTGCCTTCCTGAATGCCCCCTGGATCCTGCCTCTTAAACTGCTCCTGGATCCTGTCTCCTTGAACCCTTCTAGGTCCTGCCCCCTTAAACCCATCCTGGATCCTGCTTCCTTGAACCCCCTCCGGATCCCGCCTCCTAAACCCCTCCTGTATCCTGCTTGCTTAAACCCCGCGTTGGTTTCTCGGTGACTTTAACCTGCAGAAACTTCGACGCTGCCATATAACTCCGTCGTGCGATTCATGAGCAGGACTTTAATGAGAATTTTGCAAAATTTGCCTTTTTAAAACTCCTGTAAATCTGCAGTTGATGGTTCTCTTTAAAAAAAATAATCAGATATAACTTCTAATATTACACCAAACTTTATGCTGTATTTCCAGGAAAGTAAGATTTAACTTCCATAATTCAGTAATTTAAAAGAAAAAACTTTTTTTTTTTTTTCCAGCTGGAACTGCTGCAGATATGTATCAGTTCCTGAAAGAAAGCTGTAACACATCTATAAACGCAGATGTGAGCGCATTCCCAGGTAAATATAGCAATGGACAGTAAGGTAAGCATTACCGGGGATTGACCTAGGCACATCTTATGGTCGAGGGGAAATGAAAGTAAACCCAAATGCAGTGGTGTGGGACTGCTCCTGCTGCTCATTTTTCTGTGGAGAATTGATGACAATTCAGCAACTAAGGTATTAGGAGACTAGATAGACTGGACATGAGAAATTAAAGGGAAAGGTTTTGAAAAGTTGACGAATTTCATTCCAGTTGAACAAGGAAAAGTAGAAAAGGGCTCATTTCTCAAGTTGGTGGGAAGCATGATATTTTCATTGCTCCTATAATATCTTCTAATTTTTTCAGTGGAAGCAATATTTGTCTGTTGGGTAACAATTCAGAATCTTAATCCACGAGTATTTATTAAGTCATTTTATAATCTTAAAGTAGATTTCTTAAGATCTGCTTTAGTACTTTGAGGGGCCGGATGTGATAAGTGATAAATATCACCTTGCAGGTTTTGTTCTGTTTTGTTTAATAAATGCTTTCTTAGTTCTTTACTTGTTTTGGATGTCTATTGTTGAACTGTTGAAAGCTTGTCACAGTTGTCATATTATTGGGATTCGTGTGGGGAAACCACTATAAGCTCTTAAAATTCATGGAGATGGGAACATTGAGCTGTTTTCAACTTCTGTGCTTTTATTGCATAGAAATGTTGAGAGTGTCTCATTTTGTGAACTCTCTGAACCATATTTATGAAAGGTGTGTTAGTTCAGGTATGATATAGATCCTGCAAATAGAAAGCATTATTACCCAGAAGAGAGAAGAGGTAAAAGTTTTTCTTTCTTATTAAAAGTCAGAAGGTCAGTAATAGCTAAGACACTTGCTGAAACACTTATCTACATCGTAATATGTTTAGAACTTAATTACAATGCCAAAGGAAAGTAGAACTCAAGTCATTGTGGCACATTAAATGACTTACAGAGAGTCTTTCAACAGAGATGTTTGTTATAATAGGAAGAATAGATTGTAGTGGATCTATTATTTTAAATAATTGCTGTATCTCTTTGCAGCATGTTCAGTGGCTGGTATTCCAGTTGCAAAGAAATGGTATTTTGCAAGTCATGTTATATGCGGTTATTATCAGGTAAGATACACTTTTTTTTCAGAATATAAGTTCCCTAACTGTCTGCCTATCTGTAGAGCAAGTTAAAACTGTGATGTTCAAAATTCTTTTTGCTTAATAAAGTCTTTTTGTTTGGTTAGTATTGCAGTTCTGATTGGGAGGAGGTAAATGTTGACACACAGAAAACTGAAGACTCTCTCCAAACAAGCATTGATGAATACCTGGGAGCCATACAAAACTTGGAGGAAGACGACAATAACAGTCGGGAGTCACTGTCTCTGACTGAGTATGCATATTAATATTTTAATTGCAAGTGTATTGATCTAACATTTAACAGTAATAACCCAAGGGAATCAAGAAAATTTAACAAGTGAAAGTAACTACCAAAGCAACAGTTAACTATGTTAACTAGTAATCCCTTACTACTACTGAAAATAATTCTATTTTGTTTAACATAGCTTTAATTTTTTTAGTTGCAGATGATTTTTATAGGGTAACTGAACAGTTTCCTAACAGCTGACATCTATATATACAGAAAAAAATTACTTGCTAATCCATCTTGAATCCTACTTCCAGTTTTACTGCAGATTATTTTGATGTCATTAGGCTTACTTCTGCCTCAGTAAAAGAGGAGATAAGTATTTCTCATTGCCTAGGTATATGTTTGTGCAGAGTTTTAAAGATGTAAGATACTTACATCAGGTAGTCCTCGTTAGTTGTACCTTTTGGTTTCTAAATTATTTTGTTTATATTTTGTTTCTAACCATGTTGCTCTTCATTTTCAGTATCTATGATGAAGCTGCTGAAAGTCTGCATCAGTTAGCTGATAAACTGCCTGCCCCAGGTAATCTCTCTTTAAAAAGCAGTCTCATTGGAGATTATCTTCTTAGTTATTACTCTAAAAACTCGTGTGGTAAAATCATAGTCAAATTAAAAAATTCAGAGGATATTAGTTTGTTAGCTGAATTACCTTAATGCAGCTCTTGCAGGTAGTTAAAGAACTGAGCATGGTTGGCATTGCAAATCAGCTTATGGACTAGTTTGCTTGTTTCTTTGGAAGGCTGTATGTCAGTAGAGCTTAAGGTGGATATTTATATAATTAATTTTTCCACCTAACATGACGTCAAAGTCGTAATAGTAGTAAGCAACACAAAACTCAACAGGAAGTTTTTTATGAAAATAAAGGAAGATGTTGACATCAGGCTTACATCTGAGTTGCCAGCTGACTGCTTGTGGGTGGGAGTCAAGAAGCTGAGAAGGAAAAATATATCAGAACTATTGGATTTAGATTTTACGAACTGGAGATAAGTATCACCTTGCAGGTTAGGGTTACGTAATGTTGCAGTGGTTGATTTGGGATAGCAAAGGAATGTAGGAAGAACGACAATCATAGAATCATTAAGGTTGGAAAAGACCTCTAAGATCATCGAGTCCAACCTTTGACTAAACACCTTGTCAACTCAACCATGGCACTAAGAGCCACGTCCAGTCTTTCCTTAAGCACCTCCAGGAATGGTGACTTCACCACCTCCCTGGACAGTCTATTTCAATATCTAATCACCTTTTCTGTGAAGAAATTCTTCCCAATGTCCAACTTAAACCTCCCCTGGTGCAGCTTAAGACTATGTCCTCTTGTCCTATCACTAATTGCCTGGGAGAAGAGTCCAAGCACCTCCTGGCTACAACCACCTGAAAGAAGGTTGTCTCACCAGACAGTGAGAAAGTCTCCCCTGAGCCTCCTCCAGGCTAAAGAACTCCAGCTCCCTCAGCTGCTCCTTGTAGGACTTGTGCTGCAGACCCTTCAGCAGCTTCATTGCCCATCTCTGGATTTACTCCAGCACCTGAATGTCCTTCCTGAACTGAGGAAGGACAGAGTTGGACACAGGATTTGATGTGTGGCCTCTCAGTGCTATGAGAAAGTATATCTAGAGATTGAATCTAGATTATTAAATCTAGAGATTAGAGTGTTAAAAGAAGGGAAATGAAATAGCATAGTTGTATGGAAGGCAACTCTCATCTGTCAGTGCTGAGTAAGAGAGGAGAAAGGTATAGAACCACTGTCACTGAGGGAATGGCAAAATGTTTTGTGTTCATTTAAGAGGAGCAGCAAGTGATGAGCTAAAACTGCATGGAAAGTGTTTTAGATCTCACTGAAGTTACTTGAAGCTGATATTTTAGCCCGTTTTAATGCAATCAGTGATAATCAGAACTTTTCTATCTTTAAATGATTGAATAATTTACTGAATCATGGTACTTTGAGTCATATATAACTGTTTTTATAGGCAGAGCGATGGTTGATGTAATACTGCAGGCTGTTGAACGAGATGGACCCAAGTTGAAAGACTGCTTACCTGCTATTGGTGCCCTGAAACACCTGAGAGAATGGCATTCTGCACAGATCACTATTGCAGCAAATGATGCAAAAGGGTATGGCATTTATTTCAGGGCTGTAAACAAGGTCACTCCTGTTTTGTGTTAGCATAGGTCAGTGGTTTTACATATTTTTTTACATATTTTACATATTTACTTTGAAAATACATAGATTAGTCTATTACTGTATGAGGGCAGGAATTACTCATGCTGATTTGTTGTAAATACATGCCCTAACCAGAGAGGCAGGCAAAAAAGCAAGTCCTCTGAACTTCTTGTTTTCTCTAGGAGGAAAAGGTAAAATTTTTTCTCTTCCCTATTGTCTTTAGTGTGCATACAGTGTTTTCAATTTGTTGTACTATGCTACATAATAACTTGTATATTGATTTTAGTTTTCCAGGTTTTTTTAAAATGAATCCATACCTCTGCTGATTTTACTTAAAATTTTACATTACTTTAATTATCTTTGGTATTACATTTCAGGGAGGAAGAATAGTGTCTGATTTGTCCCTTCTGAAAAAGGAGTATAAATGCTCAATTACTTCCTATATGCTTCTGAAGAATTTATTATTCTGAAGAGTCACTGAGGCTATTAATTCAAGTTGAAATTCAGTCCAGTAGTTTCCTTACTGTCCTCCTCTAATTGACATAAAAAGGCCATGATAAATCACAGTAGTTTGGGGTTTTTTCCCCCCACACAGTGAATGATTGTGTGGATACTGAATAACTTGGCAAAGTTACCTCCACTTCCCCTCCCCTCCATGCCCAAAAGATTCAAGTTTGCTTTGTAGAATGTGTGGTTAAGCTTAATCCTAAATTAATAAAACTGTTGAAAATTAAAAAGTTGAATGTTCAGTCCCTGGATAGAATAAGCAATATACCTACTACATAGTACTCTCTGAGGTATATAGAGGATGATAAACTTACTGCAGGGACTTCCATGAGCATTTGATCTCAGTGCTCATTGGTATCATCCTGTGGAATCAGCTTTTGACTGAATAAATGCTTCTGCTGCCTTTTATGTCATCACGGCTGGGCTTCGCGAACGAAGATTTGGGAAAGGCTCTATCCACGTTTGTTACAAGCACGCTGGTGGCTAATGAGGCCAATGCAAGATAGACATATCTGATTGCAAAAGGAACAGCAGAAAGACTCCCTAGGTGGTATATTCTACATGGCACGATTCTTTCTGTGTTGTCTTTTCTCCTTGAGAGTGATCCTGCGTGCGTTCTCAAAGGAAACAGCTGCGTTATAGATGGTGTGTCTCCAGGCCTCCCGATTTGAGGCCAGAGTAGACCAGTTATGGTGATCAGTATGGCCGAGGCTGAGATGTTGTTTCAGGGAGTCCTTGTATCTTCTCTTCGGGGCTCCTCTCTTGCAGCAGCCAGTGGCGAGTTCACCATAGAGCAGGATCTTAGGGAGGCGGTGGTCCTTCATCCTGGAGACATGCCCTGCCCATCGCAGCTGCGTTCTCAGTAACATGGCCTCAATACTTGTGACAGCTGCTTGCTCTAGAACAGATGTATTGGTCACATAATCTGACCAGTGGATGTTTAAGATTGAACGGAGGCAGCGTTGATGGAAGCGTTCTATGAACGGAGGCAGCGTTGATGGAAGCGTTCTAAGAGAAGCAGGTGGTGGCGGTAGATGACCCATGATTCGGAACCATATAAGAGAGTAGACAGCACTATGGCTCTGAAAACACTGATCTTGGTACTTTTCTTCAAGTGTTTATTACGCCAAACTCTTTTGTGGAGCTTTCCAAAAGCACTGTATGCCTTTGCTAACCTGTTGTCTATCTCCCCATCAATCTTACCATCCGAGGAGATGAGGCTACCGAGGTAATTAAACTGCTGGACTGATTTGAGGTCTGATTGGCCAATGGTGATGTGGGGATGATGGGGGACTTCCTGAGGTGCAGGTTGATAGAGAACTTCTGTCTTCTTTAAACTGACTTCCAGCCCAAAGAGCTCAGCAGCATCTGCAAAGCAGGATGTTAAATGCTGCAGGGCTGCTTCTGTGTGGGCAACAAGGGCAGCGTCATCAGCATAAAGCAGCTCCCGGACAAGATGATTTAAGGTCTTAGTGTGGGCCTTCAGTCGCCTTAGGTTGAAAAGGCTTCCATCAGTATGGTATCGAATGTAGATACCGTCCTGATCCTTGAGGTCTGCCATGGCCCTTTGGAGCATCATGCTGTAAAAGACTGTGAATAGAGTTAGTGCAAGAACACAACCTTATTTCATGCCATTGGTTATTAGAAAGGGCTCAGAAAGTGCATTGCCATATCTGACTTGGCCGTGCTGATCCTCATGAAGTGAGATGATCATTTTAAGGAGCTTGGGGGGACAACCTAAACGTTCCAAAATCTGCCACAGACCTTTTCTGCTCACAGTATCGAAAGCCTTGGTGAGACCAACAAAGGTTACATAGAGACCTTTATTCTGTTCCCTACACTTCTCTTGCAGTTGTCTGAGAAGCCTTTTATGTAAAATGAGGCCATTTGGGCATAGAGTATCTCTGGTGAAAGTTGCCTCACTTATTCTTCCTGTTCTGCTGATGGTGCTGATTTCACTTAGAAGGCAGACTGCCACTAGAACCCACAGATACTGGCTGTTCTCTCTCTTGTTGAATTTGGGTAATGCTTGTGCCGCAGTCATATTTACTCTGCTTAGAAGATTAACTATAAACCATCTAGAGGGACCAGTGATAGCCCCAGTGATGGCTACCTGGCTTTGCTGCAGCTTCTAGCACCCAACTTTACTACGGTCTGCCTGCAGCTTGCCATTGCCAGTCTTATTTGATTTCTGTCAAAGTTCTTTGCTGTCACCTTCATGGAGCATGTGAACACCTTCCTTTACAGAGCCTGAATGAGAAATTCTGCAATATTTTTTACTTTGTGAAATACAAAGCTATATATGTCTGTCTTAACATACACAAGACCGTTCAGTGCTAAGAGGTAATAGGTAAATTCAGTCAAACTGCACTTCATGTTAATTTGTAATACTAAATTCAGTAAGATTAACTCCATGTTTTTTCAGTAGCTGGCAAAAGATTGCAGACTATCTATCAGCAGACTTTGTGTCTTCAGATGATATCATGAATATTATTGATTTAAAGGAACTCTGGAGAGGAAGGATTCAGATATGGGAAAGAAAGGTAAAATAATTTTTTCAGCTGTGGTAATTTTTAAAGCATCTATGTTTCTCATTTAGAGCGTGTATTGTACAGTGCATTTTAAGCTTTAAGCCAGATTTGGTTTTGACAGTGTAATTCAAAGAACTAGTGTGCAATCTGTCTGGGTGGGTGGTGGAATAACTTGCTTTTTTAGCATGATGAAAGGATAAATGAGGTTAATGCATCAAGATTTGAACTTGAAATCCCGTTGCTCTCCTCTGAAATATTTGTTGAGACAACTTATTGTTCAAAACTATATTGTTTTCTATCTATCACAAATAATTATTATGTAATTGTAAGTCATTGTTGCAAGAGCACATCTCATGTTTCAGCAAAGACTGAAAACTTTGTGACTGTGAAAGGCATTGTTTACGTTTTCAGTATTAAGGTTTTGGATTTAGTACTTGGTTATCTAAGTGCAGTACTTTTACTTAGTTTTACAGATCTGATGGAAACAAATATAATACTAATTGTTAAAAATAATAATACATCTAACTGGCTGAAAAGAAATAATTTTTGTCTCTTTTTTTGACACATTTATTGTCTTTCTTTCCCTCCAGTTTGGATCAGGAGTTGACTTTCCAGAATTTTGTATAAAAAGCACTTCAGCAAAGACATTCAGGACTGCACATTTAAGTTCTTGCCTTGCTGGTAAAAAAGAGCAGCAATCAAGGAATACTGACGCTTTGCCAGAAGCAAGTATTATTCTTGATCTTTCTTTTACTTTTAGAATTCATCTGTTTTACTTTCCTGAGAAAATTAGTAACTGGGGAAACTCTAGTCAGAACTGAAAGTTAAACATAAAAGTTTGGATTGGATAAGATTGAGGAATGCTTCTTTTGTTCATGTGTGTTATCAAAACAGGTCCTTAAAATTTCATCTGTTTTTCGTAGAAATACCATACCAAGATTTTTTCAAGTAGAAATTGAGACTTTGTTCAGTCTTAATACTCAACATATCTAATTTATGAATTCTGTATTAATTTAACCTTTTCCACTTAATTTTAAAAGTTTGGGATTTTTTGGGTTTTTTTACACTGTTGCTGTTTCATGTTTTCCACTGGAAGTAGACAGTTGATAGGAACTCCAGAATCATATCTGTTGATGAAAACAAAAATGAGTGTTTATAAAAATTGATATCAATTATGAACTTGTTATTTCATTGTTAAAATATATACATTTTGGATTGCATTTGTCTGTTCCTGGCAGAACTTATTCTTCTTTGGATAAGAGTTAGAACTCATTTGATGCACGTGGTTGACATTCTAGGAAGTAAGCTTTATTAAACAGAATTAAATACTCTCCTTGGTTTTTATATAATTATGTTTAATATAATATTGTGAATTGTTTTTCTATTCCTTTATATCTTTTATACCTCTTTCAGATGTTATCTGCAAGGGAAATGCCCCTAACAAAACACTTGAGAAAGTTATACTGAGATAACATCATACATTGTGTTACAGGTTTTTTGATTTGATGTCTTTTCAGGTTTTTCATTACTATGGTCCTGCCCTAGAATTTTTACAGATGGTGTTGCTCTCTGATCTACCCTCCATTTTTATATCAGATCTGGAATTTGAACTGTATCCTTTTTTTTAAGCATCTAAACTACTACTGATAATTGTCTATAGCAGAAAAAAAACAATCAGAATCTACCTGTGCAAACAATAGAGAGATGGGGATTGCAAGGGCTCATTCCATTCTAGCCTGCCAAAATAGTCAGTGATTCTTCACCACTGGATTTTTTTAATTTTGAAATTTAAATTACTCTAACAATGACCAGATAGTGTTGATATTATCACACATATCATTTGTCTGTTGATGTGGATGCTATTTGTGGGAAAAGAATAGAGAAATGCTTTTTTCTGTGTGAGTTTAAAAACCCTGAAGCCTTGCTAATTAATGAAGGTAGCATGCTTCACAATATAGGATCATTTGCCCACAAATCATGTTTTTATTGTGCAGGGGCAAAATCTGTGGCAAGATGTAGCAGAGCAGTTTTCTTTTGTGTGTATGCTGCAGAGATCTCAAGGTGTATTACTATTGGTTTTAAATGTATGTGCTTTGGGTACTAGTCTTGATGAAACAATAGTAGCTTAGGATGTATAAGTCTTCCATGATTTTGAATATATAAGTATCTGTGGTGAGTTTTGTATGTTTTATGATACTGTTGTATCAAAGCGCATAAAAACTTAAACACTTGCAGTCCTTCTTTGAACTTGATTTGGAAAATTGAGATGCAGAGTTTTTTGTGAAGACGAGGTTCCTTAAACTGTTCCATTCAGGAGCCTGTCAAGAACAAAGAAAACATCTACGCTGCTTTTGGACCAGATTTCTTTTCTCTCTGGGAAGGTGAAAACTTCTTTTTAATTACATATAGCAGAAAAATGGAAGTATGTATATTGTCTATAAAAGATACAGGAATAATATTTTTAAACCTAGTCTCTGTGTAAGCCTCTTCAATATTTAGCTCTAAAGCAAATAGAGCTTTTAAAGATGTTTTTCTCTTTACCTAAGCTAAGTTTTAATCTGCTAAAACATTTTGCAACTTTTAATCATATCCTGACAGATAATTTCTGTGCTATCATAATTGAACTATTGATTTTTTTAGCAAAAGGCTAAAAAGGCACATGTGCAGCCTACAAAATATATCTAGCTACTCTGAAGTGGTAAGCTTTTTTATTTTACATGTGCATATTCTGCTTTTATGTTCTGATTTTGGATAAAAAGGGTTCATGAAACATTTACAATCCTATTTCCCCCCTCCCTCCTTTGCCTTGGAATGATAGTGTGATTATTCATAGCCACAGTATTGTTTTGAAGATGTTTTTCCTGAATATCACCTTTACATAAAAGGTGATACATGTTTGTTTAGGGAAGTTTTTTAGTGTTTATAATAAATCTATGCCAATCAAAACTAAACCTGCAATGTTAAAATGCTGGTACAGTTATTCTTAATAACTTATGTTCTTTATTTGCTGTGGAGATGGTATCCCATTATCAGGCTGTATGTTTCATTTCAGTTTATTATTTAGGGGTTTAGTGACTTTTTTTCTCCCTTGCCTCTCCATTCTCCATTATACTTAGCCAGAAAAGGAAAAGGTCCTTTTTCTAGTGCTGTACCAAAAATATCTTCTAGAATGGTTTTATATTGGTGAATATCCCAGGTAATTTTCATTTTACTTAGGGGTACTGAATATTTGGTCAAATATCTTTTACAGTCGAAGAGCTTGCATTTCCACTAGTTTTTTTTAAAGTAGAAGCCAAAACAGTCAAAACACATTGACAGGTTACTTTTTAGAGTCTGCACATGATGAATTGAATATATTTTGAAGATAACAGTTTCTCATAGGGATTTTTTTTCAGTCTGCTGCTGGAAATATTGTGCATTTGTAGGCTTTTCTAATAGCTGTAATAGCATTGTTTTATTGCTTGAGTATTCTAATACATGTGCATTTTTTCTGTTAGGGCTTATTGACCTGGAATCTATATAGAGACATAAACATAGTCCAGTATCTGATTAATGGAGAAGGGTAATATGTAGGAAGGAAAAAAAATAAAATTGTTTTTCAAAGGAATGCAGAGTCACTGATGCCAACTAATATCTGTGAATTCTGTTCTCATTCTGGATACTACTCTACAGCAGTGTTTGTAGCCAGAATACTGAAAGAATTGTAATAGGTAATAAATATCTTTTTATCTATAAAATAGAAATTCAGCAGTTAATGATCTCTCAACTGGACTAAGAAGTAAATAAAACTTTTACAGCTTCTATGTCAAATGCTGTTCCATTTTGATTGATGTGAATTGACAGATGTGTTAAGATGTTTTTCATCAGTTGAAGTACACTTGAAATAATGCCAAATCGGTAGCTCAAGACTGAAATATAAAACAGGTTTCAGTAATATTGCATGTGTTGTACTTGCTCTCATTATTTAGGTGGGAGCTTTATTTACATTGCCATGTAATGTAAGCAGTGTAGTGATCCCATCTCCTGCCCAGCTGAGTACTAAGAAATGGAAGGAATATATGGCCAGGAAACCCAAGGTCATTACTGGTAGGTACATTTTGTTGTGGCTATATCTATTTGTGTACCTGTATGTATATATGGTGAGTTTTTCCTATGCATTTGGGATTCTCTTTTTGTCTTCAGTGAAATTAGGTCAGTGATTGTTGTATTCATTGACACAAAAGAGTTTAGTGAATGCCAAGTTCAGCTATGCAAACTTTCAGGAAAAAATGGATAATAACATCATGACAAGCTTTGGGGAAACAATGCATCTTCTTTAAACCATTTTTGTGTCCTGTCTCTCAGCTAAGATCCAGCTTTCACACACCTTTGTAAGGTGACTGTAAAATCCATGGGCATAGAGGTTTGCTTCTGCAGATGGAATTCCAGCATGCTTCAGTTAGGTGCTTCCCTTCTCTTTTAAGACTGACTGTTTTTGTTGCCAGCTGGGTAGCTTTTGTAAACAAGTATGCAGATGAGGGTGGCTGGCAGACTGATATTATTTCAGCCCTAGGGGTAGGAAAAAATTGAGAGGAATTAGGAAGAGTTGTATAACAGGGCAAGAAGCTTAATTATGGAATGGATACTGGAAGTATATAGATTTAAAATTATCTCTGCATGTTTGGAGGTGGTAGAGAGGGTGTGAGATACACACACACATATATATATACACACACACACACACACATATATATATGTGTGTGTGTGTATATATATATATATACATATGCAGCAGCAGTATTTATGTTTATTGGAGAGACACTACTGATGCAGTCAAATGAGTGTGAGATCCCCAATGTCTGCAAGATCTCTGTCCTGTGTTCCAGTGGAAGGGTTTTGTACAAATATTAACTATAATTATGATCAGTAACACACAATAGGTTCTTATTAGGCCTCTTGAATAAAATTTAGAATGGGAGGAGAAACATGACCATTTAAACGTGTTTGCTTATTTAGTTGAAAAGTGTTGATTTTTTTTTAGTGGCTACTACTAATCTGACTGTACTAAGCATTTGTGAATCCTTAGTGTCTTTGATCTGTGGGAAGGTGTAATTCTTGGAATTGGTAGTTCTCAAATGCTAAGATTAAAGTGAAAAATAAAAGCTTACCTGTGAGGAATCAGCTATGAGATGCCAAGATAAAATGGAAAAGGAAAATATTTCAAATTACTAGGGGAATGGGACAATAGTGAAAATGTTTCTGGAATCTTTTTCACTTTATTGTTCTATTTTCTTTCTCTGGATTTATATATTGAGGTAGCATGGTTTCCCCTTCTCTTTCCTTCAGCTTCCAGCTTAAAATTTTCAAGAAATACTGGAATATTTTATATTTGTTACTAACAAAAATTTATAATGCTAATAAATATTAAGCTCCTGTTGCATTAATTATTGAGATAGTATTGCAAGTATGAAATTATTTGACTGTTAAAGCTTAGTACATCAAGAAGTATTCATTCTCTCAATTACTGCATCTACCAAGGTGCTATAAAATGTTTTCTGTCTAAAAAGATAGCAAACCCATCCTTCCACTTTTTCTGTCAAGTCCCACAATAATTTATTTTCAAAACTGCAAACTATATGCCAGTGTTTAAAAACAGAATGTCTTTATCTCTCACCCAGGCTATGCACAAGGGTAAAGTAGGGAGTGAAGCTTCCATTAATGAATAATGCAGTGTCCTTGGGAAGAGAGTATAGTATTTCCTTTTCTTCTACAGTTGTATGTTCTTCCAGTGAACACTTATATTATTTCAATGCACATATGAAAAAAAGCCTTTTTTTACCTAGCAGAACAGAAACTTCTCTTCACTGTTTCATGGTAGAAATGTAACTTTGCCAGTTAAAGAACTTCTCTGAGTGGTGGTTGGAGTTGCCAGATATACTTTGTAGTCTGCATTAGAAAGCTGGCCCTCCTGACAGTCACAGGAGTTGGGTGCTGGTAATGTGCTGGCTTTAAGCCAGCAGCATTGTCCAGCTCAGCTTTGCTGCTGTCGTTCATTTATTTTGCATACTCTTCAGTTTGTAGATTTACAGGGGCTAAATATCACCTGTAGTTGCTGTTTCTCCTCAAAAGATGCAGGATTTCTCACAGAACAGAAGAGAGCAAGTGTAAGAAATTTGATGGTGGATTATAGCTTGTTTTAAAGCTGTTTTTCTGAGGGTGTTTCACAGTTATGTCCTGATGTTTGTGAAGTTCCAGAAGTTGAACTGAAAGGAGAATCTTGCCAATATTATTTCTTGCTACAAGGCAACGGCTCTGGAGGATGTAAAGCAACCCTGATTCATTCAGCTGGCCAGATCAATGGTATGGCCACTCTTGCTGCAGTAAATGGAAGGTTAAAGACAAGAGCAGAAGAAACAGAGTCAAGTAAGAGTAATTGCTTATTTATTTAAGGATATCTGAATGCAGGCAAATGCAGCTCAATTTCATATGTTCCTTTTATTCATTCCAGTCAGTGTTAAAATGGAGAAAACAAGGAAGAATATTACATTTTTTATAAATGTGTCTATTAGCAATATTTGTCAAATTCATAAAAAATATAGTGAGCTTATTTATTCACAGAATTTACTGCTACCATATTTTTTAAATCAACTATGTAAAGTTACAGTCAGTGAGATTAGTTGAAAATTGTTTCTTAAAGGGACATCCAGGTAATATTAGTGCAAATCAAATTCGTGAAAACTTAAAGTTTAAAAAGTATGTATTGTTGATGTAAAGACTGCCCAGCCCATGCCAAAAACCTAGGTAAATATCTGTTGAAAATCCTATTTCACTGATGTATCATAGCTGCTCCACTAGGTAAGAGCATATATCTAGACATTTATCTTAGAATAGTTATCCTATTACAACTACACATACTAGTTAACTCTACTAATTCCTGTATTTGTTTCAATAATGCTGGCAAAGAAAAAGAGCACAGTGACCTGCATCTTATCCACTTAATTCCTTATTATCGAAATAAATCAGTGTGTGATATGACTGACTACTTGCCATTTATCCTAATTAAAATCCCATTAGTACAGTGTCAGAGAACTGAAAGTCCTTGACCACATATTGGGAGAAAACTTTTCTTTCTTTTCTGTTTTGATCCTAAGTATCAAACTTAGGATCTTTTTACCCTCTTTAAATGTTAGTCAAGTTAATTGTGTTGTCATATTGGTTTTGTACAGAAATTCAAAAACGCTAGTCAGGCATCTCTTCCAAGTTATCCTGATGTTCAATTGTAATTGGTTTGTTTGGGGTTTTTTTAATGATTAGCCATATTTGAAAGTCTGGTTGTTTCCTTTTAATGTGAAATTTTTATGTCTGCAATGTTTATGTTTTCTAAAAAGAAGTAATGATTCCAAAGTCCTGTGAGAGATTCTTAATAAAAACTTCTCCTAATCTGTACAGGCTTTTGTATTGCTGACTTTATCCAGTCGCTGCCACGCTTCTGTGGAGAGCAGATTGTACAGAGAGAAATGAAACTGTCTCATCTCCAAGTGTTTACCTTGAAAGAATATCTCAGTAAGTAATGGGGAAAGCACTGGTAATTCTCATTAAAAGTATTTGAAAGCTCTGTATGTCAAACTGAATGTGATGGCTCAGTTTACAAAACCGAAGTGAGTTGATCACTTTGTGAAGAAATAGTGAAGGTTTGAAAAGAAACTTTGTAGTATGTTCATGATTGTGTGTCAGATAATGAAAAAGAGAACACTGAATTAAGGTGGGTGGCTGCTTGTTACACTATTACTCTGTTTGAGCATAGTTTTGGAATAATTTTGTGGTAATTCTGTGATGGTTTCCCCAAAAACCTTTACTGCTGGATATGTCTTCTACAAAAATAAGAATTCTGTTTTTGATTTTTCAGAGTTTTTAAAAATTTATTCTTTATTGCAAAAGTCTTCAACAGAGGAAAAATATGCATTGGATATTTGTTAGATTTATCATGAAGCATCGTTTGTAACAGCTGAAAGGTCATCCTCCGTAGATTTTCATGACTTTGCAGAGAAGTACATTTGAGTGTCCTGATTTTTTCCATCCAAGTCCATTGCTCTAAGAGACTCAGTTAAAAGAAAAAATGCTTCTGAGAGATTGGCTGGCTTATAGAAAATGGCATTCTGTGAAGATAATATAAGTGTATTATTATTAACAGAATAGCAGCTTAAAGAAAAGAAGATTCCTGCTAATAGTCTCGTCTTCCACGCCCTGCCCCCTGCCAGCTTGCAGTCATTCTCAGAGTCCTGTCAGCTTCAGCCCTGAGCTTGGGGCTGCTTTAGAGCTTGTGCTTTAATTTCGAGTGGATCATCCATTTCCATTAGGATGAAGACTAAATAGGAGCAGTTGGGATTGACTGATCATCCCTAATCATACCAGAATTACCTGGCCCTTGATATTCTGACCAAAGAGACCAGAACAGGCTCTTAGTTACACTGAAGCCACACTCCTGCAACGGCAGCAAAAATAGGTGGGTGGGAGGCTCTGCAGACTGCAGCTTTTCACATTTAGGCTCAGCAAGTCCAAGATATTTGTCTCTGGGGAATCCAAACCTGGATGTATTCAGAAATGCATGTATACAGAAATTAAAGGACTGTAAAAATGGGATTCACATGTGACTTCAGCTATTCTCACTGCTAAGTTTTTTCACTTGTCTGTGGAATAAACCACCCATGTCTTGCTAAAGGGTACAATAGTAAATGTCAAGTTAACTTACTTGTGTTATCGGTTTTGGGTGGATATGTTCTTGTTTAGTTAGTTTTTAGCAGGGTCCAGTTGTTCTTTGTTACTTAGTAGGTGCAGTACCTTTTCTTTTTCCTTTTATAGAGAGAAAGGAATTGGCTAAGAAGCCTCCGGTTATTTCTACCAGTGAGTTCAAAATTTTATTAAAACTTACAAGAGAATGTTTTTTGGACCTGTGCAACACTAGTCTTCCTAACCATGATCTACAGAAGGTTTCCAATAAAACTATGTCATGCACTGTGACTTGTGGTGAGTATTGTTATTTAGGAAGTACGCTGCTTATTCTCTTTTGATGTTTTTTCCTACTGGTCATCAATTTGTTACTTTTACCAAAACAGGAAAACATGGAAGGAAAAGTGAAGTAGCTTTCTAGGGTTTTTTTGCAAACTGAAACGACCCTTGCCTTACCTATTTCCTTTCTTTTCCTTGACAAAAAAATTGTGCAGAAAAAGTTTCTGATTGCATCATCAGACAGATTTTCCATTTATTTATGTAATTTATATATATGCATTAAGGAATATCTATATATAAAGGAATGTGTATATATATGGGTTTATACATATATATTTCTTTAAACAATAAGATTGCTTATTAAGGGTTATCCACCATACATTTCTTGCAGAGCCTGATTTAATGGAGACAAATCCATTGGAATGGCCAGAAAGACATGTTCTTCAGAATTTGGAAAACTTTGAAAAAAACAAACAAAAAACGAGGTAATAATGAAATACCGAAGATTTTCTTTGCAGCGGCCACTGAACATTACTGTAGAGGAACTTCAAATGTTGATAGCCATTGTGTAAACTGTTTTCAAGTATAGTATAATCTTCCAAAGAAAATATTGCTTACGGCTAAAACTAATTTTTTGTCAATTCCCAAAGATGTATTTTCTGGGTATTGAAAGTAGTATTGTTTTGAATTTGATTGACTAAATGCAAGTGAAATTTAACTTAAAATAGCATAGTTCTAAAACTGAGTTACCAAAATGACACTTCTAGAAAATAGTAGCCTTGGCGGAAAAACACATAGAAGCTTTTCTTTCTCCCAACATGCCCTAAATAATAGAGATAATTTAGCATTTTTTGTCAGCATGTCTTTCTAATCTCCTTATATTTCCAAGATAGTCAGTACTTAAGTCATGTCTCAAGTCATTTTAAAGTTGAAGATCCCATTGGCTTTATGTTTGAAATTTACATTTAGTTATGTTTTTCCTTCAGTACTCTTCAAGTGAAACCTGTAGACCTTTTTGTCACTTAATACAGCTTATTGATTTAAGTTTAGTTCTCACTTCATATAAGACTTAATAGTCTTTGCTGGTCTTAATGTTTTTGCTGAGAGACCTTTACAGCCGGTTGTCCAACTGTGTTTTTCTTAATCACTTCCATCCCATTTCTCTCTTTCAAATACCATAGTTGACCATGGCTTAGATTGGAGTTCTGCATGTGAGGAATTCTCACATTAGATCTCTGCTTTTTCGTGGTTGTCGCTGTTATTATTATTAATGGGTTTTCTTTCTCAGACGGGTAAAGTTCTTCCTTCTAATTAGCTTTTGAAAACCTTCCTGAAGGACCTTTCTGTTTCATAGTCAGTGTTTATTTCATTGTATTCTGAATGATGATCTTTCTTATCCTCTATCAGTGTACAGCATATTGCTCAACAGTAGAAAAGAGAGAACTTTGCTGTACTTGACTGAAGACACTAAAAAAGAGTGGAAGTTTGCATGCAGTAGTGGCTTTATGGTTCTAAATTCTTGAAGAAATTACTTCTTTTTAGTAGAATGCTAGAGAATTTGCATCAAATATACTTTATCATGAACATTTGTGTGAATGTTCTCAAGGAGCAAGCTTATTCGTTTTACTTCGGCAATAGTTTAATTGTTCCAGACTAGCAGTTATTTAATTTATTTTTTTTTAATACCATGAGATTACTAAAGAAAAGAAAAAAATCTTAGATTGGTCGTTGGTGTTTGTTTGGTTTTTTTCCTTTTTTCAGAGTTTCTCTGTTTGCACATTCATCTGAGCAGTTGCTGGGGCATAAAGACAGCCAGCGGGAGTCATTGACATTGCTCGATGCTAAAGAATTACTGAAATATTTCACACCAGAAGGGCTGCCAGTTGGTGATCTTCAGCCACTACAAATTCCCAAGCGGTAAGAATCCAGCATATTAAAGCAGACCTTACTCAGAGCTGATGGAGGGGAGTTACAAATAAGGACTGATTGAGAGTCACAGAATGGTGTAGCTGGATATGAGTTTAAAACTTGTAACATCCTTGCATCACATACCTGCCAGTGAAATCAACTGCTTTGCTCCTCCAGCCAGTCTTACTAATTAATTCTTTCAGAATCTGAAATGGCTGGAGATGATGATGATGTTTGTCCTATGCATTTAAATAACAAAATAATCACCTGAAGTGCAAAAAATGTGCTAGTGGACTCCTGGCAAGCTGTGTGCATTTCCAAAATAGTATTTCTATCCAAGCAGAAATACTGCGGCAGAACTTTAATTTTATTGGTGTGATTTCTTTCAGTGGGGGGGAGTCTAGGTGGGAAGAAAATTGCAGTGTAGAAAAGCAATAGCTGAGCCTGTTTTACTGTGTTCGTCTCCTGTCATGCTGGCCCAGAATTTCTATCTATATTTTTATGTGGTAAAGTGCTCCTTAAAGGAAGCTTATCTACTCTGGTGGCTTCACAAGTATTTATCCTTAGTGTGTCTGCTGGTAAGTATTAGTGTATTAACCAGTACTTTTGCAGCAGGAAGACTGATACATGGAGTTAATGGAGTAATTTTCCGGATCTGAACATCTGTTAGAGTTAAGGCCAAACTGTGTGAGAGTCAGATAGTGTTTGCCTGTATTATTTGTGCAGTGTGTTACAGATTTCTAGGTAAGGCCAGACAATCTTTGCAGTCACTAGAATTATGTTTGTTGACCTTTTTAACGTTGAATAATAGAATCTGTAATGGACTTATTTGATACAGCCCTCGATACTTTTTCAGACTTCATTATATGTAATAGGAATGCTTCTGAGAGGGAAAGGTACTGTAATATTTTGGATTTTCTGTAGGATTTTTAAGACTTCTGTAAAATACTTACTGGAGTTGTGAAACTAGCCTAAAGATGTTCTGAGCAGAGAATTCAAGCAAGTTAGAAAATATGCAATGAAGATTGAGAATCTTCTAGTGAGTTGTTAGACCAACAGAAGGAATTAAGAGATTTTGAGAGAGACTGATGAATTAAAGGCATGTTCACTTGTTTTACATGTTTGAGTTTAAATAGAAGTTTGATAGATTACAGTTTTGGCTGACGGTCTTTCTAAATTACCATCTTGCTGGATTCAGTATCACATCTTTCCTGGATGTTTTTCCCAGATAATTTTTACAGTGGTAATGGTGCAGAGACAGTCTGTGTGAATAAAATTTGAAGCAATGTGTACGTTTCAGATACTCCTACATCTTGCCTTCATCTCTTCCCTTCTTTAGAGATAAATGAGATGTGACAGGGTATGCTGGGATCTGGCAGCAAATGCTTTCTGTCTGTCTCGCTATGGCTTATTCTGTTGAAATACTTTCAAACAAATGCATTCATGTGATTTAGTTGCAGAGAGTTTCTAGCTGGAATTGAAATATCACAGGAGACAAGTGGTTAGTTATAAAGTCTGGCAAAGGTGACTGTGAGGTGAGACAACAAGCTAAAGGGAAGGAATTCAAATCCTGCTATAGTGCTGGATTGAGAAATGGGAGGTCAGTTCCCAGTTCCTTTCAGTCCATTCTACTACTCAGGTGTCCCATTGTGAAATGGAATGATATTTACCTGGGTTTATTGATAGGTTATTTGGAGCAGTGACCTTAACTGGTTGAAATGTCTAAGAGCTTCTGTAATATTAATAGCTCAGTAGGAATTAGTTAGTTGAACTTACACTGTCACTTCAATAAACATTTAATTTTCCATTGATGCTTTACCCCAGAGGCTTTGCCAAAGCTGGCATGCTGGTTTAGTCTTCCTATACCATGGCATTTTTTTCTGATTTTTGGAAGTATAATTTATCCTGACTGTAGCTTGTTAAAATAGATCCGTATTTTTCTTTTTTTCAGTGAAAATGCATTTCTTTTGACACCAGAGCTTACTCCTCGGAAGCTCAGAGGTTTGCCTTTTGAAAAAGCAGCTGGATGCCATTATCATGGACTTGAGTAAGTGTCCTGGCTTTTTTTCCCAGAATTATTTTTTAGTTTCCAGTCTGGGTATAATTGGAAATGTTTCAAGCAACATGTGTGTTAATTATGGAAAATTTTATGTATCCTTTTTCTTTGTTGGAACAACTTTGCACGTGCCAGCTCTCCCTTTCTTACCTTTATTTTAGTTACTGGTTTAAATTGCAACACTCCTGCCTTGATGGTAATGTAAAAACATTTAAGTTTTTTCTAAGCTGTACTGTTGTAGCTATTCTCAGTGTCTCTGTAAATTTTAATTCAGAACTAAAAGTGTCAAGGGAAATAGGGTTCATTAGTACATATCCAATTCCTGGGGCAGCACATGAGTGAAGTACATACATAGCTCCTACTTTGATATTTAATTGTAGACACTTTTAGAACAGTCAGGAGGTTTATGAGACCTGCTGTGGTGCTACCTGTGTGTTCAGGGAACCTGAAAACAACTCTAGCAGGCAAGTGTTAGTGGTAAGAATGTTCAAAAGGATCAATATGATTAGGACTGTGTTTAGTCCCAGCCAGCCAGAAATAGTTATTTGTTAAAGCTTCATCATATAATGTAGCTGTATAAAAATAGTTTAGAAAAACAGAAATATTGACATTGAGGAGAAAAGGAAAGACATACAGAAATGCTAGAGTAAATAATTCAGCATAACTCTTCCCTATCATTCCTGAGCTTGGAGGAGATGCTCCTTGAATATTCACCATTTCCCTTGGGCTCCTCTTCCCTCCGGAGGCTTTATCCCATGATACTCTACCAAGCAGATCCATGAAGAGGCCAAAGTCTAATCTCCTGAAGTCCAGGGTAGTGAGCTTGCTGTGTGCCCTCCTTGCTGCCCTGAGGATCTCAAACTGCACTAGTTAATGGTCACTGTAGCCAAGGCTGCCCTTGAGCTTCACATTCCCAACAAGCTCCTTCTTGTTGGTGGGAGGGAACAAGGTCCAGCAGAGCATCTCACCTCACTCGGAAAAGGAAGTTATCAGCTCATTCCAGGAACCTCCCAGACTGCCTATGCCCTCCAACAGGTATTGGGGTGATTGAAGTCCCCCATGCAGACCAGGACTTGTGAGGCTGTTCCTATTTATGATTAAATTAAATTTTTGATGTAATGAACGTGTGCCAGACACTTGAATCCTGTGTTGCAAAGAAAAAGTAATTGCCATTAACGCAGTGAGTAAAATGGCAATTTAACTTGTAAAGTTAAATAGATTTTTTTATCTTTATAGGGGATGTGACTACTCAGGGGACTGAGAATATAATAAGGAAAATTAAATACCTTGAAATTTTTAAGTTAAGAGAGCTTACTCTCTTATCAGATAATGAATTTATTTCTAGTGGAAAGTCTTACTCAACTGTAGAAATGGACTCATCAGTCAGTTATTAGAAAAGTGAATTTCTCCCTGAATATGAAGATACTCTGAAGAAAGTAGAGAAATCAGATCTAGCATTTTAACATGACTTCATGTTAAGAGACAAAAGTAAAGAATGTGTCTAGAGTTCCTAAGAGTGGGAAACATTGCTGAGCAGCTTGGAGGGTGGGCTGAGTGATAGCTCACACTGTTCAGAATACTTCATAAGAAAAAGGATGAAATAATACTGGACAATACTGTTACCTTTCCCCAGCAGAGGTAATGTAAGTTTCTGGGTGATGAAACACTGAGCTTTTCCAAGGAATCTTGGAAATCATTTACACCAGAGAAAAGTTAGTTAAGATGGGTTTTGTATTGTTGTAATCTCTTCTGTAGGTTTCACTGGGCTATAAGTACTCATTTGGTATCTTTCAGCTCCACTGTATTTAATACAATTTGTTTTGTTGATTTCATTGATTAAACTGCTTATTCATTGTAGTCGATAAGAAACACTTTTTTGTATTTTTAGCATTTAAAATTGTGAATCTCTCATATAGCACTGTTTATCTGGGACAAAGCTAAAGGTTTCACTTCAAAGGTGCAGTTAGCACTTTTTGTTCAAGGAAAAAATTCTGCTAATGTCCATGGAAATCTTATTTGTAAGACCACAGGGTAAAGACTTGCAAAGAATATATGATTCAGCTTCTTTGTTGGAGTTGGACTTAAATATAGCTAAATCCATAAGGTATGTGTTAATTTACTGGGTGGTTATAAATTATCTTTCAAAACAATACACCAGTTCAAACGAAAAAAAGTTTTGCAGTTCACATGATTGTCAAAAGTAAGTTTTTCTGATTGTAATAAAGCAGAGACTTTCTCTCACAGGTTTCTCACCAATTTCAATTTCAGATATTGTCTAGACGACAGAAGAGCCTTAGAGAGAGATGTGGGATATGCTGAACTTCAAACTCGTCTTATTCGCTATGAAACTCAGACTACTTGCACCAAAGAGTGCTGCCCTGTGCCAGTTGTCTTGAGTCCTCTCCCATCTCCCGCAGTCTTGTCAGAGCCTGGAAGTGTCCCTGATGGAGAGTCTTTACAAAGTGAATTCAAAACAGAGACATCAAGGCTAAAATGCAGATCAAAAGACTTGGATTGCTTTTATCCCAAGAAAAGGTAATGCTCTGAATAAAATGAATCTTTAGCATGAAGTATTTCAGTGGTCTCTTGTGAACTGCATATTTTCTTTCATCTCAAAATGTTTTAGTGAAGCTATCTAGACAAATGTTCTAGTTGTTTAATCCTCCTCTGTGGACTCATTTTTTTTCTCAAGTGTGACCTCTCATTGATAGCATTAGATTAATCAAAAACCATGTGGCACAGGCAGCTTTTATTTAAGAGATGCGGGGTTGTATCTTGCAGAGTCTCAAGTGCCTTTGAAAAGATGACAGATAGCCTCATCTAGGACTGAAACTGTCACTGCTGCTGCAGTACAAATAAACAACTAGAGGTTTGGAAAGCCAAGTACTGTACAAACAGAATAATTGAATTGCTAATCCAAAGGACTGCTGGCATAAGATGACCTACCAAAACTCAATCTTATTGTCAGCCTTGTTTATTAAAGTCTTTTCTGCAACTTTAGTTTTTAAGATTTTCCTTTGTACCTTGTCCTCACTCTGAAGATGCAAAGTCTTTGTGTCAATGAAAAATAGCTGCTATGTAACGCTATTTCTGAATGCACTTTTTACTATAATACTTCACTTCGTCGCTTCTTTCCAGTCTGATACCCTTTGCAGTCTAATCACACCAAGCCTTTAACAGAGGTATGGTTTTAGGAATATTCATATCTTTTGCAACCTACTCTGAATAGTTAGAAAATAAAATGTGATTGTATCTAACATTTCATGAATTAGAGTTTTAGAATAACTAGCACTCTTACAGTTGAAGGATCAAGGATTACGTTTCCAGAGAACTACAATGCCCAACTTCCCGTAGTTAAAGATGAGTTCTGACATTCCTGCAGAGCCAAAAGAAATGAAGTAGTTTCAAGAAGCTCTCTTATCCTAAGACTGGAGGCCAGCAAACACTGTTCTTCCTGGCTCTCTAGATGAAGGGTCCATATGCAAAACTACCCCTTCTTCCAAAGAGTTTCATTTTCATTGTTATCTGGTTTCTTCAGTTTGTTTCTGGAATTTTTTAATCAGAGGTTTAATGGGTCTGTATATCACAGACCGATCCAGTCAGTGGAGTGTTCTTCTAATACAAAAAATATTATATAATGGAATCCTGTATTCTTGTCTGCTCTTTTCAGATGCTGTTTGCAAGAATGCACTTATTTCTTTTAAGCAGCAGCCTCCATAGTAGAAACAATGGCACCAAAAGAGTCAGTAAAAAATCTGAAAGTTCTTTTATCTTTTTTGTTTGTTTGTTTGTTTAACTTCCTTCTAGGCTAACCAAATCTGAGAGTACAGATTCCCTCCTCTCTCAGGCCAGTGGAAGTAGTGGGAGTCACTGTGCGGTTGCGGTAACAAGGAGGTGCTCTGAAAGATCAGCTGCTTTAGCTGGGATGCCACTGAAACAGCCTGGCCAACCCCACAAAGTGACCACGAAGGCTGGCTCAGCCAGTCGTGTAAATGCTGCCCAGCCTGAGACCTTAAAGCCAGCAAAGGAATCGAGATCCCAGAAGCATACAAGGGTAAAGGTCTATGTTGTTTGCTTAGTGAAGAAGCATCTTGCTTAAATTCTTTCCATGGGACTTGATTTTTTACATTTTTTAACTCAAAGTGAACTGTCTTCATCTCTCTTTGTTATTAAATTTCATTCTGTTCGTTTGTGTAAGTGAATCCTGAAGGCACTGTGGAGAGTGCTGCAGAAGCAAGGAATGAAAAAGTATGTAAAGGAGTATTTTATCATGCCCAGGGAATTAAGGCTGAGAGGGATAACATCTAGGAATAAAAAAGGTGGGAGTGAATATCAATGGAGTTATGAAATGTAGAAGATTAATATAAAACCTAAAGGCACCAAAGAAATATCTGTGCTGGAAGGGTCAAAGCCATTGTGGAAGAACAGACTGTTCTGAGAATAAAAAGATATTCCAATAGTTGTACAAGTCCATTAATTGAGATAACATTTAAATACTTTGATGCAATAATGTTTACTTAATAGCTGTGTATATTAGGAATGCCATTTTTAAAATACAGTACACAAAACTGTTTCTGGCATGTTACTAACTTTAAATTAATCCCAGGATACAGAGAGGACTCTGCAGGAATGCTGATGTACTGTGAGTGGCAAGTTGGGATTGCCCAAGTAAGCATAAATTGGTGTGACTCATTCAGACCTACAGTAAAGTTTAAACATCTCTGATACAAAAAATGTCAGAGGAAATTTTCCAATATGACTTTAGTGTCTGATTTAGATTTTTTTTTTTTAATATGGATGCATCAAAGAAGGAAATACCAGTCTAATGAAAAGTTATCTGTTTATTATTTTGGAGGAAATAAAATCCAAGCCAATATCGATTTTTTTGTCTTCCAAGCTCCATGTGAATATTTGATGATCCTTTACATTGCTTTGACGTGTAAGCATTTCCTTGATTTTTTAGATGAAGGGAATGGAAATAGATTGTTAAATAACTCTGCTCAGATTTGTTCAGTGGGTTGATGGTGTTGGGGCAATGGATTAAAGAAAGAGGCAAGAAAAAAGATCAGGTTTTCTGTTTTGTGGTTTTTTTTACTTCCATTGGACAATTTTTCTTGTCAGTAATTGGGATGAACTTTTGAGTGTGTTTCTGCTGTTTCCAAGATGCTGAAGGAGGTGGTTGCTAAGACTCTTCAGAAACATGGAATTGCAGAGGATCACAAGTGCTTTGCATCATGCAGCCAGCGTCTGTTTGAGATATCAAAGTTCTACTTAAAGGTAACTAGAAGACATGCTCTTACAGTTTTTTGTTCTTAGTTAAGTAAGTGTACTCCTGAATAAAACTTGAGATAGACTGTGGGATATTCACACTTGATTAAGACAATATTTCCCAATATGTTAGTAGTGTGTAGAATGTGTGGATAAACCTTTAGGCTTGTTGTCCAATGCAGAACATAGTTTTACAGTATATTTTGGTGGTGTCTTATTTGTTTTTAAACCTTATAAAGCAGTACTCTTCTATGTGAGATAACACCTTAAAGCATGGATCTGTTCGGTCAAGTCATACTTTATTGCTTCCTTAGCTGTTGTAGCTATCTCACAGCTGTAGCTGTGACAGCTCAACTTCTCCCTTGTTCTAAGGATGTTGGCTCAACAAGTAGCTTACAGAACTGACTCAGAAATTCTAGTTCTCTGACATGCTCACAGAAGTCACTGCAAATGTGCACAGCTATCTTAACACATACTGGCTTGGCAGCACCCTGTAGAATTGCATCCACCTCATTTTTGGAAGGAGATGAGAATTCTTTCCACAATATCTAAGAGACTTTGTGAGTCAATGCTTAAGCCATGTTACTTGGTCTGGGCACAAAATCAAGTTAAATTGCAGTATGGGGTGTTTAAAAGCTATTGCTCACAAGCTGAGCTGCTGTTCCTGCTCATTTGCATGTGTTTAGCCTATGTCTGTTGGGTGAACTAAGTTTAGACAACTTCAGTAGAGGTGATTTAAGGTAAACGAAGTTGCAGTTGAACAGGGCTGATTGTTTACACGGACAATCTGAATATCTTGCCAATAAGCACCAACTTCTTAAATAATTGGAACACATTTCACAATTTGGAACACAGTTGCACAGTCATTCTGTGAGTGCTTCTGGGATCTCACTGAAATATGCCCTGATGGAAGGTCTCCTAATCCAAAAGCAGAAAGGGCTGCATGTAGGGATGAGTGAGTAGGGCAGATCAGATGGGTTCATGGTCCCATTCCAAGTAGAAGAGCAAAAGGAAGAATACTACAGTGATCCTGTCCTTTGGAAAGCTGATCTAGAGAGGTGTCACAGGATTTTGTTCTCCTGAACTGTGTTACAGCCCCAAGTCTGTGGGGGCCCTTTCTTTGAATCCTTTTGTTTGCTGCATATTTCAGAAGCATGATATCATAGGTATCATTTTCCTTGGGAGACAAGTAGTAAATTAATTTTCTTCCTCTTTAGGAGAAGTTTTGTTCTTGCTTTGTTTAAAAGAGTAGATGAGCTTAGACTAATTAATTGGACTGCTAAACAGACAAGCCATTCTAGGTTTTTCCTTTCTTGCACTGATTTTCTTTTTGGATGTCCTCTTCTCTGTTCTTTGCCAGAACTCTGCATTGCAATCTAAGCTCACAGCTGACTTCCATGTTTATATAGAAATAAGATTTCAACCAAATGGTCAGAACTTTGGATATCATTTAGGAAAAAAAATTCTAGAAATGGGCAGAAGGTTAGGAAGGCTCACACACTTGAGTACTAGGGTTGGACTTCTGTAAGGAAAGCTGCAACCCACTGGAATAGATGTAAATTACTTCCTTTATTCATAAAAAAAGCAAAGTCAAATAATTCTTCTGTTGCTCAGAACAAGGTGATGAAAGTGTAACATCACCCTGGTTATTGGGGCTCTTATAACCCAAATTAGAGTCACCATACAAGTGTGCTGATTCCTGTGGCTTTTTGTTTCATATCTAGGATCTTAAAACCTCTAGGGGACTTCTTGATGAAATGAAGAAAACAGCAAATAGCAATGCTAAACAGGTAAGACCATTTGTTTGTTTCTGTAACTAGCCAAGGCTAAATGTTGCTATGGCAACTTGGTTGTAGGATGGTTTAGTCCACAGCTTTTACAGATGAAGAGAATACTTCAGTGAAGAACACTCTTCCTTGGCTGTGGGTCTTGTTTCAGTCCGATCTCACAGAAACTTCCTCTCAATCAGTAGTCCCATGGCAAAATTTCCAGTTGCATATATTCAGGATTTGGATGGTATTCTAGTTATAGCTGCCTATATGATGTGCCACACTGAGAAATGGAAATGAAGGCAATAAATGTTTCTACATCACTGAAACAAAAAAATGAGAGATGAGATTTTTCTTCATTAGAGGGAGGCCTGGATCATTAGGGAATTTTTCTCTTCTTGTGTTGAAGTAAATAACATTTCTTTTCAAAGGTTAGGAAGTAATAAGAGGGTCTGTAAAAGGAAATAAACTTCTTAAAAGAAGCAATGAAAATTAGTAATTTTAAGCTTGGGAGTAACTTTAAGCACAAGGGATATCAGGTGAGTTTATTTGTGTGTAAAGTGAGACTTATGTGAACAGTAGCACAGAGTAAATCATACAAGTAAATACCCCTCCAGAAATTAAGTAACTGACTCTGAAAAATACACTGAAGTGACTCCATGATTGGGAAAAAAAAAAGTGTTATGCATAATTACAGTACAGTTTTCAAAATCATAAATTAAATGGAAGAATTTGAACTGGCATAGTTAAGTAATAAAACCCAAACTCTCAAGGAAAACTGCTAGATCCCCGCAGAATTTATTCTACAAGAGCAGTATTTGCTGTGTTCTGTACTGTGCTCTGTTGTGAATTGCTTCCTACAGATGATAAGGTTTCAAAAACTGCATGGGTTGTGATGTTTGGTGTTGAACTGGGCTGTTGTCCTGATACACTGCTTCTCACCACCATCTTTGTCTGGGGAGAAAACAGGTAGTTTTGTGAATGTTTGCTGTTTCCAAAAGAGGCGTTAAAATTGGTGTTCTCCTAAGCTGCTCACTGCTCCCTGTATTGGAGAATATTTTGAAATTACCTTATGTAAACTATAATTGCCAAGGACTAATCAGTGGTCTGAACAACTGCCCTGCTTGGAAAGCAGCAGTAACAAAGGTGGTAGATAAAGCAATGCACAAATTATCCTTTATTCTTTCTTCTACTGTTTAGTAAATACCACACAGATGATGATAAAGGTGGCGATAAAGAAAGAATTGATAAAATGTGTGAGATATTATTAAGTTACTTTCGAGACCTGGAGTTATGAAAATGGTTTGCTTTCTCATTTATTTGCCCAGGTGATTGAATGGGTTTTGGAGAAGACTGGCAAGTAGAAATACTGTGTGGATTCTATTCACACCTTCCTAGGAACTGTGGGGACAGAGCACTTCTGACTACAAGAAAAGCATTGCACTGCCTGAGGCACACACATACAGATCTGCACACTGGTGGTCAGTGTAATTATACAGACTCATCCTTTAAGCACATTAGCAAGAGTTGAAACTTTTTATACTGGAAGTTTTAATTAATTTTTTTTAATTCAAATGAAAAAAGGTTTTATTTTATATGCATATTTATTATGTTTGTTAAAAGGAATATAGCTTAACTTGGTTTGATAAAGCTTTGTATGTTTTTCAACCAGTATATATGTTTTTTATGTGAATAAAAACCCCAACAGATTTAATTTTGATAACAGCCTCTTTGGTTTACCTTTTTGTGTGAAGACCTCCACTCTATTTATTACAGCTCACTGTTGTATAGACAGCTGTTTACAGCATTGGCCATTAACATTTTGTAAGCTAATTAAGAGCAGTTTCTATTCTGCAGGTGAAAGCAAAGGTAATTAGAATTCGAGTCACAATTATCTCTGTGTTGTAGTAGCAGGAAAAAAAGAATGTCTTTTGAAACTTGATGGGAGGTCCCATTAAAGAAAGGATCACTTTACAAGCTGAATTTCTGGTATAATTTCCTGCGTGCTCTTTGTAACACTCCTTAGAAAATATCTTAAGAGAGGTTTGAGATCTCATGTCCTGGAGGAGGAGAAAATCAAAGCAAAAGCAGTAATGATGATGGTGAGAGCTGGCAAAGAGCTGGTAAGCTGTGCTGAAATGTAATGGAAAGAAGAATTTCTACCTGTTCCACGTGTTGCAAGTACAGTAAAGGACTAAATTCAGCCTCAGTTTGCTGAAGTCTCAGGCATGTACCTGGCTTGTACTAATGTAATTATTCAAGTTAGTATTATTTTGAGATGAGGAGTTCCTACCAAAACAAACAGATTTCACAGCTTTCAGTATAAAGATTTCCTGTTCATCATATTAGTTTATATGATTGATAGAGAAGCACTGCTTTTGTTTGCTATATTCCCCTGGCACGAAAATGGATTAAGCAATACAAATATAAATGAAATCTAATGTGATGAAAAAGTAAATGAACTAAACCATGTGGAGGTTAGACTAAATACTGTAAAATCTATACATTCTCTAAAAAGCCTTTCTGATTTTGTGGCATTATTTTTTGCTTAATTCTATTTCATGTAAAGCTGAGCCCTAAGGAGGTTTTTCGTGTCTAACAAGATCTTGTGTTAATCTGTTCCTTTGTCTCTCTGTTTACTGTTCTCTGAACTCTACAAGACCTTTTCTAGGGAGGGGGAGTGTGTACTTGGTTTAACTGCACTCTGAGCTGCAAGAGGAGACCTTTGTAGTTGTTCTGCTGTGACAGGGGGCTCTAGTGAGTACCGTGTGCATCTTATCCCAGGACAAACATTACTTATGAGACGGATTTCATTTGCAGAATGCCACACATCCACAGCATCCTGGTTTTACTGATTTGGTGAAATAGAAATGCAATGAAGAGAGATACTTAAATAATGATTTGATAAGTGCATGCATGAAATTGCTCCAGTGTAATGATTACTGTGTATGGCTCACATTTCTTCGCATTCAACAGAGAAAACAAGAAATTATTCAAGACATTAATCTTCCTTAACATCTTTTAGTGAATAAAGGAAGTCTCTACTTCCAAACAGAGAAAAGCTGTAAGTTATAGTCTTATCTCTTCAGTCTGAATGCTGACACTTTTGTCTGAATACTAAAGCAAGTCACTGAAAGTTGTATTTTCTACTTAATTTTGAGAGGTTTATATATGTGTAATTACAAAAACTTTGTAGTTAATAAATTATGCCTAAGTTGATAAGCAAAAGTACAGGAACTCTACATTTCATAAAATCCTCGAGGCTAGCTGCCATAAGCAAAGCAAACACCTTTCAGAAAAGTAATTAATACTCCTGAACTGGTTTTATTCTAGTTCAATAGAGCCCAAAAGTTATTGTTTTAATTAATTCTGCAGACTCAAAGGCTGGTCTGAAATAATAAGCAGGAAAGCAGTTAGGGAAACATAAGCATTTTGATGTATTGTTTATTTGCATGGTTCCCAGTCCTGAACTAATACACTTGCTCCCATGTCTCATTTGCTCTTTATCTTGGTGGTTTTTTAGGGTACGTGGCAGCTGGTTTATTACTGTGGCTTAGTAAAACTGTGCCCCATTTGAGCTGTGATAACTGTCCTTGTCCAAACACTTAACCTATAAAAAACATGCAAAATAATTTGACCTGGTCTACTGTAACAGCACTACAGCAAATTATAACTACAACATACTCTATTGTAGTTCAAAACCCTCACACCAAGAGTTCCCACCAGCTGATGTGTTTCAACTTACGTGATGCAGAACAGAACATCACCTCTTCCCTCTGAACTTCAGATTATTTTCTTGTTTTGGGCTGCTGAAGCCAAAATCCAGTTTGCCCTATGCATCCTCTGGGTGCTTGCTTTCATGTTTTTCCAAATCAGGATGTAAGTCATATTCACCAGTACACATTTACGGTTTACCCATAATCCATCCATACTACAGAATAAGCACATAACATAACATACCATAATAACATTATGTATTATAAGCATATAATCCATCCATTTTATGTGCTTATATTACCCACAGGATTGGGGTAAGACAACACTTGGTGTGGTTGCAATTCCTTGGTGATAGAACTGCTTGCAGTATTACAGCATTTGCATGATGGCTATCACTGGGCTACCACAGAACTTAGCTTGGGTACAAATGCTTGTCAAATTCACAAACTTCCTTTTCCAAATTCACAGTTCTCCCTTGGGAATTGTCTTCTAAATTTTTTTTCTAATGCCTCCCATTATTTACTTATGCACAGAAGTTCTGATGAAGGAAGAAAAGCTAATCCTGTGTGGGAAAAAGGTCATGACCTTTGTTAAAATGTTTTCCCCGTCATGCTTTTAAATTAAATTTTTGCCCTGGTTAATCTAGGGGTCCATTTATATCAAGCAGGCTCAGTTTCTCAAAATTTTGCTAGCATATTATTAATATCTACTCTTTAAAATCAGTCATGACTGAATTCAAAAGTGTCCATTTTAGATATAATTCTCAATTACTTTATAGTAATAATATACACAGTGTGTACATATTATTATGTAATATTATATATATATCACTCACTGTATTAATGGTCTCTCTATATAGTAAATAGCCCCAGTAAACATCAAATTATAAACCTGCCAGTTTGACTTCTATGAAAAGTAAGATAAATTTGGAAATCAGTGATAGTCTAATGATCTGGAGCACATCATTTGTTTAGGCTCTGATTTTGCTTCCGCTGAAGAAAAAGAAACTCCCGATTAACTTTTAAACATAGGTAAGAGGACACTGAGAACTCTTCCAGATGGAATCAGATCAACCTCTCCTTCCAATCAGCTGTGCTTCCGAATGCAAAGAGCTGGATGGAGTGTGCTCCCATGTCCTGTGGGAAGAAGGAATACTAATCTTCTGCAGAAAGAAAACACTTGTTTCATTATTTGCAAAAGACCAATTCTGATGATGTTCACGGTAGTGATTTACTTGGTAGCACATGAAGAGTTGTGTTCTGATTTATAAAGTACCTTAAGTGAGATGCTAGTTCCATTTGAAGAGCAGGACTGTTAGGAAACACCAGTATGCTTCCCTGAACGCAATCAGATCAGCTTTATTTTCCTTTTTCTTTTTAACAAACACTTTATATCACATTTTTCCAATGACATTTATGTTCCAATACGTATCCAGATCTTTCTAACGGTGAAGCTGCTATACAAACTTTCTGATCCGACTGTTCAATTTACAGTCAGTATTTTGTGAAAAGAGTGAGACTCTGGAATATTCCTTTTTTGGATTTCCATGAGGCTGGTCTGTTATACCTCAGGTCAAACTGAAAAAACCAGCCTTAAATTTCCAGTTAGGTTTTCTATTTGGGCCACTAAATTAAGAGTTTAAGTTAAAGGGAAGGAAACCATCTTTTTTTCTATAACTGTTCATAAGAGAAACACGGCACATGTTGACCTCAGTCCTTGAATGCAGAAGCTTGAGCAGAAATTTCTTTTTTTTTTTATGACTTCTGTAACTGCCTAGTGCAGTATAAGCAACAGAGAAAGCATTGTAACTTCAGCAGAGGAGTCTGAATGACCTGCTCTGGAACATCCCTGTGAGCTTTCAGGTTTTTTTAATTTTAAATTTTTAAAAGTCATTCCATCAATGCAATGAACAGTTCTCTCAAGTAACGGAACTCTTAACAAAAGAACTGAAGTTTAAATGTCTTTTTCCCCAGCCCAAAACCAAAGAACAGCCTTCCAAATAGTTTGTCTGGGTACAAAGTAAGCTCACCTCACAAAAATCCAATAAATGACTTTATTAAATATATTCTTTTCCTCTAAAATATAAATATTCACTATACTCTTATAAATGTGGAGTAGGTCCATATTTAATTTGTCTATCCCATCCAAATATGAATCAGTTCAAAATCTGAAAATGAAGAAATAGCATCTGTAATTATCATTTATTTTTTCTATAAATATATATATGAATCTTCTTTGCAAACTGCTTAGTTATTCACTTAGACTTCATATAGTACTGAGCACCTTAGATTACATTTTGTGTCATTTAATTGTTGGTACTAATATAGGAATTTGTAATATTTACAATGCACATACGTGTTAAGGATAACATTCCAGTGATTTTTAAGTGTTAAAGGAGTAAGGAAATAGTGCAGTATAGTTTACAGATGTATTTTACCTACCCCACAGAATGCAAGTTTTCACTTTAACCTCTGGAACTTTTATAGGAGCCCATGTCCAGATTTTTAAGTCATACTTTGGAACAGTGATCAAAATGTTCTGAATTTTTAAAACCTTCACTGTTTTAAAACCTACAGAACTGTTGTAACAGTTAATTTGATCATGTGACACGAGTTCCTACCCAAGGACCCGTCCCCCCGCGTACCGACTGCTCTCAGCTTCTGAGATGCTCTTCTAGGAGCCTCCAAGCCAAAGGAGACCCACGTAACTGCCCACAGAAAGTTGTGTGGATGGCAGTGGTCACTAAGTGAGAAATGTCCATCTGGAAATTATTGGTAAGTTACGTAACATGTTACTTCCTACCTTGAGAATTTACATGAGGAATTAATTTTTAAGTGCAAGTACCGTGACAGTAAAAACAATGTTCACAGCGAGGTGAATCCCCTCCCAGGTGTGCTTGTGAGTGGTGAGAGGTGCTGGCAGAGGGGCTGCTCCTCCAAAGGGGCACTTAGCTGTTCTTCAATGACTGTTTTCTGTATTTGAGAATTCAGCCTATCATCCTAAATTTTTAGTTAGTTTTTATGTTTAAGATACCTATGGAAACCACAGTGAACTAATTCTTATGCTGTGAATAAACAGCATGACTTACACTTAACTCTCAAACTTAGCTTAAAAACAACATGGAGCCAAACTGTGTTTTTAATTTTCCTCTTTGCCAGCCAAGTGATGCTAAGTTGAAATTAATGTGCTTTCTCAAGAATAAAAGAAATTTTGTAATATGACAACCGAATGCCCACAAACTTTGGATTTATTACTTCCTGTACACGTCTTTCAAAGTGTGAATTTAGGGCAAAACTCTAAAAGCAGACAAAACTCCACCCTGGTGTGAAGCAGTTCTGTTTATAAAGGAAGAGCAATGTAAGTGCCATCACTCTTCTGCTTCTTCCTATTTCTATTACTTCCAGGTTCAAGCTGTGTGTGCATCGTTTCTGATGATGAAGGTCAGTGTTCCTGCCTGCTTTCTGCTGCCCAAGGTAATTGAACAAGGCTCAAACTCAGTGAATTGCATACTTTGACTAGAAGCAGTAAGTTGTGGTGCAAAACAGGAACTAGTAAGTCAGGGACATGGAGGTGAACATCTTATGTTTCACCAGCAAGAAATCTGGACTTGCCAAGTCATGCCCATAGGAGCAGTTCCATGTTAAGGAGTACAGCTCATGTTCCCACCCTGGTGTGTTTTTCCTCACTGCTGTGGAGCTGCTTGAATAACTTTTCTGAAAACTCTCATAAAATCAAGTCCTTTTCCTTCACCACATTTGTTCTTCTATGAAGACCACACCACCACACCACTATGAAAACACCACACATCTTGTCTGAGGAGAGGGGGTGACACAGTAGGGGTAGGACAGGAAGCTTAGCATGGCCTTCTTTTGGAAAACTGCCATGGAAATACGCTGGCAGAAGCTTCCATCACACTTCGACATGGATTCAGGTACCTTCTACCTGAGCTGGGGATCACAGATAACTGAAACTCATTAAGATATTCTGGGAAGTCACTATAAAAATGCATTCCTAATGTTCATTAATACAGGACAGTCCTACCTGTGCTCACTGACAGCCGGCTCTCAATACATCCTAGAGTTGGTCTTACTTTGGCTCCATCCCTAGGAATGTACATGTAGCATGTCTTTATTGTTTAATTTGAAACTGCCCTGGGCAGGGGCCCTCCAGGTGTTCCCTGACCACAGCTGTATTGCTTCAGAGAGTCCAACCAAAGGCGTGTATTTGAATGCTCTGCTGGCATTCATGCAACAGGTTCTGACAGAGCTCCAAAATAAAAATTTTCTGTAAGTGGTACACAGGTTACAACTAAAAGAATCTTTTACTTTTGGGTGCTGGGACAATCTTGTTTGGAGAACTTCTCAGCCAATCTTGAGTTTGCATTACAGCCAACATGCTCTTGTCTGCTTAGCCCTTTACTTATTCTATATAAACAAGTACATTGAAGTAGGCACAATTTATGATTCGGAAACATTTACACCTATGGTACTACACGCTTTTACGGTCTCACATGGGATTTTAAAACCTCATTATTTACAATGAAATCCCCTGTCTTCCTTGTCATGCCATCTCTTTAGCTGATCAAAATGAAACCTGGGCCTTGGAAGACTGCAGAAATGACCTAGGCCCAGTGCTGAACGCCAGGCTGGTGTCTGCTGCTAGCTGGGACGGGTTCCTGCTGTTGACTGTACTTCAGATGAGCATGGTTGCTCCGTCTCTCTTTGAAGAAACAGATGGATCCCACTTACGCCACCAAGCCCAGTCTTGTGATCTTTGCTGACAGGAAGGAATGAATGATGAAAACAATTGGTTTTGGACAGGAATGGAGGTCCAGTTGCTGAAAGTACAGAAAACAAAAAATCAAGTTGAGAATTACTAGATTAGATTACAGCTCAAAGAAGGAATAATTTATGAACTACTTGAACTGCTGTCTGATATTTTGAACAGGCTTCTATTAATAACAGCCCTTCTCTACAACATATTGCTTTTCTTTTGCATACAGCTGCAAATATTTAGGTTATTCAAAGTAAGTAATAAGCATCTTGAGAGCAGATGAGATCCTGGTGCCTCTGGCCTTGCATCCACCTGGGTGAGCAGCAGAAAACTGAGTCAGATGCTACAAGCAGTTTTCCAAGAGGCTCAACCCCTCCTGTCTTTTCAGGCTCTGTTCCTGACCAGGGATGGTGGTGGGACTGCACTGTCTGATACCCAGTGCATCTGCTGTTGTTCACAGCTGAAGCACCTTCAGCTGGTGCTGCAGAGTTGCTCCTCTGTTCTCACAGCCAGCAGTGACACTGTACTGAGTCTTTTTTATTACACAGTTGTGATTCAGATCTCACCACACTCTTGCTAAGCATGACAGGCTTGTCAGTGTAGGCAGCAGGTTCAACAATAGGGTCACATCAAAAGAACACAAATTTGCCTTTCCACCGGTATCAATTTTACTGAGAGCTTGTAACAAACTCCCTTCTGAAAGCCTGGCAATAAGCAGTTTGCAAAGTGTTAACGAAAATTATGCGAAGAATTAAGCACCCAATGTGATCAGGAACTGCTGAAAAAATTTGTGAGGGAAGACCATGTTTACATTCATAATTTATGATATTTAAACTGCTCATTGGAATATGTGCCTTGTATTTAGGCACTGTGACAGCTTAGAGGCCTAAGCAGACAGTTTGCACTATATCTGTAGCCTTAATTGTTTTTTTCAGCAACTACATGTTCAAAAATGTTTTAACACAGCTTGTTGTCGTAACATGAAGTCCCTAAGGGCCCATTGGAATTAATAAGATCTCATTCTTACGTTCTTTCACCCTTGATCATTTAAAAAGTGAAGTGGATACATACAAAAATTCTAATATCTGGCTATTTAGAGGTACAATTTGTTCTTGAATGTAACAAATCTTTCATCCCTCTTTGCATGGTTTTATGATTTTAACTGTCTTTTTAGTTCATCTCCTTCTGTAACCAGATTGTCATGCTGTACTAGAAAGCACAGCATCTAAATACTGGTACTGGAACCTGGCACTGGCCAACTGTTGTGAATAGAACAGAACAGAATAAAGTATTTCAGTTACAAGGGACCTACAATGATCATCTAGTCCAACTTTCATTAGTGCTTCTCCACACCCAGAGCCTTTAGGATCACAAAAGAGATGGTAACATGCATCCCTTTTCTAAAAGTAGTACTTACAATTTCTCCATCTTTTCCTCCAAAGTCTAAATAAAGCATCCTTATCCCATCATCTGAAGACATTTTCAGTTTTTCGTAGGGATACTGTGCAATTTTCTTGGAGAAGGCACCATCTTGTGGTTCAGTTGTAAGAGAGAATCCATGTTCATAATGGATGGTCAGGCGGCACTCCTGGCTTTTGTATGTGCAAGCTGCAGAAGAAATCAAAATTTAGTCCGTAACGTTCCTAAAAGCACCAAATTCCATTTGGCTGCAGATACCTGCATTTGGCATTTGATCTCAATGCTATCTTGTGGAAAACTAACCTTTCCTGAAACTGGGCTAATCATGCTCTAACTGTCAACCTCTATCAACCTGCAGGTTTGGAAAAACAACTGAAATCCTGTAGTGCAAGGTCCAAGCAAAGTTATGGTGTAAACACAACAGACTAAAACTGTGCTCAGCAGTAGCAGGACTGATGTCATCCTTTCAGTTACTAACTTCATTCTTCATGTTGCAGCAAACATCTACCTGCTGACAAAAAACCAGTACACTGAAATTTAAGAAGGCTTAGACTGGTGTTTCCTCCCTCCAAACCTTGACAAAGTCACAGCTACTCTTCTTTTTGTGCCTGACAGACACAGCCAAAATCAATAAATGCGGCGCACAATGCATGAGAAAATTAGAAGCTGTAAAGGGTTTCCCTAAAGTATTTTGGCAAAGATGAAGGCACTCCTGAGTCCTCATTAGTGTCGTGGTAATTGAAAAAGGGTCCAGATAATTGCATATAATAGCTACTGCAGCAGAAAGGCTGCATCTTCCTCTCAACTCAGAAACAGAGGCCATGATCCAAATAAGAAAATGAAGAGTTTTGGTGTTCACATCCCAAATTCTCTATTCCATCACTTTCCTGTGACCAGTTCTGTCAAGGAAGGTCACTGGCACTGAGATAAAAGCATTGTTATAAAAGAAGGGGCTGATGCTCTCCTTCTGCTTTCCGAAAGACTGGCATCCATCACTGTGCTGAGGAGATGGATGTGTCCCCCTGAGCACTCTGGTTGGTTTCTCTGTCAGGGGCCCTCCCAAAGCAGCCTGAACTCCCTGTGCCTACCGGCCTGAATCCCTGTGCTCAGCAGCACGTGGTTGTACCGGATGCTTCAAGAAACCAGAACTCCCCCCTGTTGTGGGTGGATTTGTGCTTTGGCTCCTGCTCTCACATTTTTAGGATACGAGTGGAGATAATGTTCAGCATTAACGGCCCTGCCAGCTGTAGAGTGAACAGGGAAAGGACTGCAAATCCTGAGGGCATTTAGGAGAAAGGCACAGCCCCAAAGCCACAGAGCCACTCCAGGCCAGCAGATATCCGACCAGACAGGGCATCACTCCAGATCATCTGCAGCTGATTACTTTTATTCCAGTCGATTTTGCATGTACAGAAGTGCTGAGAAATGACACCCTGATGTTCAGGGAGGGAAACGACTACCCATCAAAATGTGGCTATTGAGCTGGTTTGTTTTTTTTTACTCAAGTGTGCAGAGCTTGGGTGAATAAATGACCAATTCACACTTGTGAATGTGCCAGTCCTCCTCTGCCTCCTCCCTCTGCAGGAGAAACTCCTGCCAGACTTGCAGAAGTCTCCCGAATCTCAGAAAAATGCTCTTTTTCGTGGTTTCTAGACAAACCTCTGACCATCATTCCTCCATGACATGAAAGCCTACATGGCTGACTACAGACTTTTGTCTAAAACAACATGCTGAAAACAAAACCAGAAGTCAGTACCATAGTGACTGGCCACAGGTAGCACACCAGCTGGGACTCGCTCAGAAACCAAGGGGACAGTATTTTAAACATGCACATTTTTAAATGAATCACATCAAGCAGAAGGAGCTCCAGCTGCCACGAGTGTCACGAGAAGGGTGTGGGGACGGCGCTGCAGGTGTTACTCACATGTGGTGATTTCTGTGATGAGCTCTGCAGAATTGTGGCAGCCCTGCACCACACTCCTCGTCCACAGTGAGAGGTCTCGACTAGTCTCCGTCCTGAACAGATGGGTTTCAATCCCTTGCCTTGTGCCAGTACGGGTCGCAAAAGACAAATCCATCCCTGACTGTGGTGAGCCTTTTCCTGGGCCAGAATGAACCAACCTACAATTGGATTTAATACACATCAGGGAATTCTAACAATGACAGTGAGCACAGAAGCACCTGGACATGCAGGTGATGACATGGATGTCCCAAAATTTCCTAATGAATTGTACAAAACACCCCTTTGGATGAGGAACTGAGAGAAATCACTGACTGGTCTGTGATGATGGAGTTTGGTCCACAGATACAAGTGCTCACTCAGATGAGGCAGCTGAATCCATCTTTCACTGTGAAGAACATTTGCCCTAAACCTTAAACATCTGCAGACAAACTCAATGATAAATACTGTTGGATAAAATATGTGTATATATATGCATATGTAAAATATGCAGATGCCAAGTACTGTCTCATACTTACTTTTCCCACAAGAAACCTGTAAAATGCAAAATGTTGCAGCTACTTGTAATCTGAAATTCTCTCACATTTGTCTGCAATTAACATTTTTTTGCCCGGCTGATCTCCTGTGACCAGGAAAGGTTTGTTCATCTGGGCAAACACAAATCACACAGAATAACTTTGAGTAAGAAAATCAATACTTCATAGTTATTAATTTTTCTTTAAGACTGCCCTTTTGCGTTGGGTTTTTTTTCCCTGCAGAAGCGTGGACAGTCAATATAGAATTCACTCAGAAACACAACACTGATTCTTCTGAAAAGAATAATCCAGAGGAACTCATCACTCTTTGAGATTCAGAGACTAACCCTCTGAGGCAATCACAAAATGAAATTCTTCTGAAAAGCTTTTTTCTGTCTTATGTCTCCTGTTTTCCTTTCTATAGGCAAACAATATACTTCATATGACACTATAAAGTATGTAACATGGTAGTAGAACACTTGTGCTGAAGGATAAAACATTAGATTATACTAATCATTTACTGAATGCTAATTTACCCTCCAATTACTGTTTTGCATCTACAAGAATAGTCGCCTGTTAGCTGACAGTGTAGAAGTATGCCATCAAACAGGGATGTTTTAGTAGGAAAAGAAAAAGCAGAAAGGAAAGAACAAACAAAGCACAACTTTAGCTTTTCAGTTGCTGAAACACTAATCACAGGATAACTGAAATTTTCCCCAGTTCCCTGATGGTCTGTGCTGGCATTTGGGATCCACATGGTGCCAAACAGATGTGCCCCTTTTTCATACCCTGCTGGAAGGTTTGCAAGATTTGTTCATGCTCAGGTTCATGGATTTTATGGTCCCAGGAGATCCTGGGAAGTGAAATGCAGAGCATCCTGGTCAGAGCTGCCCTGCCCTCTGTCTGGGCAGGCTGGCAAGGCTGTTTTCCCTCTAGAAGGGCTGAGTTAATGTCCCACTCAGCTTTGATACTCAGGGCCTCCTAAGTGCACTCTGGGCAGATTTTGCAGTCGGGGAGTGAGTTGCAAGCAAACAACCCAAAAACTTGAATTCCCTTTCATTTGGTGTGAGAGGGTGCAAGCTCTGAGCAGAAGCTGCATCTTGATAATTAAGGGAGGAGCCAAGGAACTGAAATCTTTAGTGACATCTGCTTGCTGCCTGTCCCCAGCCAGTCAGCCAGCCATAGGCATGGCCACCACTTTCATGCTGCCTTCTTCTACCAGGCTGTGGGAAAGCAGCCTAGAAAATCACATAAAGTTTGTCAACAGAAATAAAACTATTCCAGCTTTTCCCTGGGTCATTCCTTCTCTTGTATGCAGTACTCATCAGCTGTGCTAAAAGTTGTTTAGTCATACTTACAACACTGAATGCAAGACAAACAGATGATACCAATGTTTTGTTTCCTCTAAAAACACACACCACCTCCATATCTTCATGCTTTATCCATACCACTGGCATTGTAGGTTTTTCAGCATATGGATAGAATGAAGATATACTTCACAAATTAAAGTATGTAGACATCCAACATGAACATTTATTCTTGCCTGCCTTCTCTTACTATCCCCTCATTATTAAAAATCGAGTCTCACTATTTAAAAACCCTTTTCTATCGTACAACTACAGATAGTGCTTTGTAAAATCATGCACTTAAGCATGAACTAGACAAACATGCAGGGGAACATTTGATAGTATTTATGTACCAGGTGTCAGTACTAATGTATTTGGGCACAGATCAAAGGATTCCCAAGCTTTAATAAAGTTACATTCGTGTGAGATGTTTCATTTACAGAGAAGATACTTTATCCTAAAGACCATAAAACTACCTTAAAAGGCAAAAATATCCTTAGAAACCTCACAGGCTTCCCCTCGCCCCCACCTCCATCACCGAGCACTGAGCGCTGATCGCTCCTCCCGGCACAGCGAGAGCCGCGAGAGGGCAGGAGAAGGCTGGTCACGACCGAGCCTCCGCACAGAGCACAGGGAACTGGAGCGGCTGTGAATACCACTCCTGGCGCGCTCCAGGGAGCCAGGGAGACACTTCTGATCTTCTCTCGTTTCTACTTCTAATATTCTCTCATTTCTCCCTTGTCTCTCTACGTTCCGGGGGCCTTTTCAACATTATTTGTTGCAAATGTGTGATAGCAAGATGGATAGGATCCAACATGAAGTGCTGGTGTAGGGTGAGATGCACTGGGACCTGCTTCTCATCCTAATGCTATGGAAAGAGCTTCAACAATGTAATGCAACAGCCAAATCTAGAGGCCTCTTCAGAAAGGACAGTGAAACCAGCACTGACATTCAAAGGAAGCCTTCAGCTGCTCACTCACTCAAGATTTATCTCAGAAGAGACCATGCTACACGTGCAGCTACTCATGCAGCTCTGCTGGTTAGAACACCACTATCACTGATCTTTCTTATGTCACTCTGACTTAGCATTTGAAACCTGCTCTGGAATGGCTGTACTCTTTGGAAACCTATGCACATGCTCTCAATTCATCTGCGTGGAGGGAGCCACAACCACCCTCACTGCCTCTGGAAGTTAAGCAGAGAACTTGCAGGGCACCTCATACACCTTCTCAGGGTTCTCAGGAAACCCAATGCTCTCTGCCTGTCCCTTTGCCCGCTTTCCCAGATAACTAATCAGTGCCCAAACCCCTTCCCCAAGTTTTTATGTCATTAGCTATTAAACTGCTTTAATAATTTCTGATTACAGACCTCAGCTGTACACAAAAGCTACTTACCTGATCTTTAATCACAGCCCAACATGGACTGCACTTTTTCCCCTTTCATTTCATATCTGGCTATGATAGATAACAGAATTTGATTGCAAACATTTAAGATGTAATTACTTAAGCCCCATTCCCATGCTAGAGGGAGGCACTGTTATTCAGGCATAAGGAAACATTGAAACAGAGATTATGACAAAAAGGTCCTTGGAGTCAGGGCTGTGTGCCAGCTTCTGTGCCTCCTGGTGCAGAGATTTAAAGGAACAACTTAAATCTGATCTCAGTTTTATTTGAGCTATTACTTATATTCCACACAAAGCTGGAAAAGACTGACTGGAAAATATTTTTAGGTCTTAATAGCATCCAGAGGTTGAAGGCAAACTTATCAACAAACAAAAAGGGCATGCTGAAATTCTGCTGTTAAAGGACTGTAAGAAGATTGTAATCCTTCTACCACTTTCCAATTTTCTCTGCTCATTATGTCTTGGGTAGATTAAGCATGACTCTGTACAGTATCTGGCACTGAAGTTTTCTAGTTTCAGCAGCTTTTCAAATATGCATTAGCTAAGCAAAAATGTTTTTCCAAGGACTCATAAAAATCTGAAAGATGGAAGCAGCCAAGATTACAACATGGACTCTGCAAACTTTCCAGGTGAAAAGTTCTAAATTGCACTGATCAATGCACAGAGGGGATTAAAAAACTTGTCACGAGGAGGGTAATCACTGACTGAGAATGAACACAGCAGTCAATACCAACAGCAAACCCCCTCTATTTTTTTGGTATAACTGTACTCAGTGTGACAGGTCATAAAAGCAGGACCCTGCAGGGTTTTAATCAGAATCATCCAAAACAATAGGGGTAATAATTTAGGGAATCTGTCCATTTATGTAATCTGCTCATCTTGAGGATTCATGTATTTATATGTATTTATCACATCGTGACTCCATTCTGAATGCCAGTTTCTGTATAGTTGCTGCCTTTTTACCTGAATATTAAATTCACAGTGATATTAGTAAGAAATCATAGAAATGGGGCTGGAGAGGTTCTCAGGAGGTCACCCAGCAAATCCCCCTTCACAGAGCAGGGCTAACTGTACTGACACACTGCTGTGTCACCCATCCTTCAAAGTCCCCAGTGATGAGAATTGTGCACCTTTCCTAGGGAATCTAATCCAGTACCTCACCTGCACACCAAGTTTTTCCCCAGGACCTACTCTAAACCTCTCCTGCTACAAGTGCAGTCAACTACTTCCTGTTGTATCCAGGAGGGATGTAGAGAAGATGCTCCCCTGTCCTACTTGTGTCTCATCTTCATACCTGAAAGCTACTGACATGTTTCCCATGGACTTCTCTAGATTAAACAACTAAGGTTTCTTAAGAATTCCCCTACTGAAAGTGTTTCTATATATTTGCATTGATTTCTTCTAGACCTGCCACAGTTAACTGGCACTTTTTGGAAGTGCAATTCCTCACATGAAGGTGGTGTATCACCTCAGGCTTTACTCATTCATGGTCTCTAGTTAGGTATGATTATTACATCTGCCCAACATGCAACATTTCTTCTATAACCCAAGATGATTGTCTTTATTATCCCCTCTCAAAAACATAATACCTTAGATTTAAGCAGTTTTGCCACACTGTCCAGGTGCTTCCTGGCAGAGCAACTACTTTGTCACTCATACTCCACCCCACAAAGGTGCAGCGGATTATTCCCCAGCACTGAACGTTACACTTGCCCTTTCTGAACTGCATCCTGGTTTTCTTACAGACCATTTGCCCAGTCTGTAAAGACCCTTCATCAGCCTGACACATGTGCTGTGCAACTTCTCATTCCCCTCCATCCTGAAATCCAATGTTTCTCCGCTCAGGCAGGTATCCCATCATACAGGGAGATGACTATCCCCAGCCAAGGCAATCCGTTCTGTTATCAAATGTGACCTCTTGAGGAAAAATAATCTACTAACGGGCCCTCCAAGATGAGGACTTAGATTGTTGGATGCAGTAATCTGGAGGTCACTGATGATGAGGGCTGGCAATACTCACCAAAGAGTTGTCTTTACACGACAGCATGTGGGCAGGAAGGGACAGGATGCACTACAGAATCTCCAGTCACTTTAAGGAGGACTTGAGTCCATATACAAATGAAACCCCAAAACAGTGGGGAGGAAATGCATCATCTTCTGCTGGGGTACTCTTGCTTCTCAAATTGTAAGGCTTAGTGATACACATGGACACAGCCTCTAGCTCCAACACTACCCAGTTTTCACTGACACTTGTCACCTGGAATTCTCAACATTCATCACGACACCACGCAGCAGGCTGCAAGCTGCAAAGCTTGTGTCTCTTGCCTCATGTTACAGTAACAAAGGGTGAGTCAGAAGCTGGATTCTCGGGAAGTCGGAAAACTCCATCATGGGTGGGTAGACTGGGACAAACAACCATCAGTGTAATTCACTGAGTTCCATTTCATTTTTTAATATAATGACTAAGCAGCAAAGCCTCAGTTCATTTGAGGAGACAACTAAGAGACAGAGAACAAAAATTAACTAATGAGAGTGCAGTGAGAGACCCACTGCTTTTGGCCAAGTGCAATCAGCCCTTCTGAATTAGAACTCATTGAAAATGGTATAATGGAGGCTTGTAGCAAGGCCAAAACAATGGAACAAGAGCTCTTTCTCAAGCCCTTTGACAATACTTGCAGAGAAACATGATTAAGATTCACATCAAGAAGCACAGACAGTTTCCACTGCATAACGATGACCATGGGAAAGCTCTCTCTGAATTAGTGTTGACGGATACCTCCAAAATAATGCAAATGATTATTTCCAACCTCTCTTCAAGAATGTGTCTTCAAAGCTTACCATTTTAAGCTAAAAAAAGCCAGGAATTCATTTGTTAGAACAAGGAAGAGAAGCTGTGCTGTAAGTGTCTCCAAAAGCCCCATGCTGGTGGTGCAGAACTGCCACACCAGCACATTCAACTTAGGGCCAATTTCACTTTGTTTCAGTCTGGAGGAGCAACTAGAAATCAAAGTGCTTCTGCTAAGCCCTAAGGTCTGCACACTGAGATAGAAATCTCAGGAGACCAAGCTCTTGGCTTTTTCAGCACTCCCACCTCTGTATCCAGGCCAAGTGGCCACATCCATAATCCTGGTGTGCTCCAGGCCATCAGCCTTGGCCAGAACTTGAAATGGAGGAGGAGAGTTAAGCTCAGCACATTGGCCCATTGAAGAACCTGCTTCTAAACCACAACATTTCAAGTGTGAAATACAGCTGTGCACCAGCTCTACCTGTTCCTGGCTGACTCAGCTGTTCCCACTGCTCTTGAAGTGGTCATAATAAAAAGGCACAGGTACCTGGTGGCTAGCAGGGGGTAGGTGTGCAGAGGGCTGAACCAAGCTTCCTTCATCCGGGGCATGCTCTCATATATTAAGAGGTCTTTCTCTGTCAAAACCACTAACACTGGCTTCCAGCGCTTCTCGTTGTCTCCTGGCACCTGAAAAAGAGAAAAGTCTCTATGAAGCAACAAGAAAAAAAGCTACCATCATGCAAAGCCTGACCAAAGGACATGTTGAGTCCTGGGTGAGAAAATGAACAAAAGGGAGTTTGACTTCCTTGGCTTTTTGACATCTCCTACATGGATTTATAACCAGATGCAGCAGAAATGGAGTAAAGTGCAATGTCATCTTCTGGTCCCATTAGCACTGCCATTTCCAGCCTTCCCTTACCATGGGTTACTTGATAAATGTGGAAGAACACTGAGGTGGAGCTGGCTGTTACTTAGCTGTGGTATGCATGAAAGGATGTTTAATGTATATTTATGATGTGCACCATTCATGTGTAGCTGGCACATTAATCTAATGCTGGACGTTGCTGCTGCTGTTTGTATTTTTGTAAGTGAAAAAAAGCTGCAACGTCATCACTATTAAAGAGTGACAGGTAATAAAACCTAGTGCTTTGGGAGCAGATCTTTTTTCCTCAGCAGTTCACGTTTGTGTTGCTTCTCCTTTCATACCATTCTTCCAGTTTTACAAGTGCCTATTTGTAAGAGATCCAACCTAAACATGGGGATGACATCAAGTATTGACTCAGTGATGGATCTGCTCCGCATTTCAAACCCATATGTCGAAGATTTCCAAAGACTGAGACATCAGAGCCCTTTACCCGGTGCAGAATCCAGATGTGGAATTATATTTTGCAGGTTAGAGGTGTGATAGTCCACGTGGATACACAATTACTGATATGAGGACCAAGTATGGATTCTGGTTTCTAATTATTCTACTCTGGCAGCATAGAAGTGTCTTAAAATAGACGAGAATATGAAAGGACCTTAGTTTCAAGTAAGAATGAAGCTCTTTCACAGACAATCATTTTCCATTTGGTAAACATAAAGAAAAAGAAGCCCGAGCCCACAGTAATACAGCCATGCTTTCAAACTCAAACGTCTTGGCTAGGTACTTAAAGGGAATGAAACAAATTCTGAGATTCACCAGAGAATCTGGTTGTCTACATGACTCCTCCATTAGACCTTCCCTGAGATACAGAAGCAGCTGTCTGTGTGGGTTTATGGTTGATGCCAGCCTACTTGCCATGGGCATGTGTCACTGGGAACATTGTTGGGTGGAGAAACATATAAAAGGGATAAAAATTTGGGCAGACTGGGAGTGGCACAGCCAGGAATGGTAGTTCAGATCCTTAAGTACGATGTGTTTTATGTGACGGATTCAGATTGAGAACCACATTTGAAACACGTATTTTATACAAAGACAAGGTCCCACAAATTTCTAAACTTTTAAGGGCTTTCAAGACTGATATAAGATAACTTCATACCATAACACCAATGCCTAAAGCAGATCTCAAACTAAGATTTTTATCTTGCATAATTTTCAAGATGTATTTTTCCCTCTGAATGATGCTTTTCCAATAATCATATTCCTGTTTACAGCATTACTTGCCCATTGGCTGGTCACAAATCAAAGTCATCAACATAATTGAAATTGAAATCTCTTCAGTTTCTTCAGAACCCTCAACACTTATTTACAATTTTCTTGTGGTGACAGTTTCTTAAAACACAACCTTTCATTTTCAAATAGGGATGAAAAGAGAAGCCAAATAATTTACAAACCTATTAAGACACTCCAGAAAGAATGCAAAATTCAGAGTTCTCAGAGCCCATGTACTATGGAAATATTCACATGAGCAAAAAGCATCCTCGGTTTCCTAATGCCACAGCTATTAACTACAGTTAACACTCTAGTTCCTAGCGTGGGAATATAGAAATGACTCTTACAGTTAACACTAAATAAATGTTATGGTTAATGTTAACATTTAAATTTGGAGCACCTGCCTATGCTCTTTAAATAGAAAGTAGTACATACTTTTGAAAATTTCCAGAAAATAAAAAGGAAGATAAAGATGAAATCTCTCACAGGATAAATCAGCAGGATGTTCGGACCCACTCTCTGGAGAAGTAAGCAGGCAGTCTACTGGGGTCTTACTTCTTATTTTTTAATTCTCTGACCACAAGCAATCCAAAGACTATGGGAAGCTGCTCACAGCTTTTCTGCAGAACCACTCTGCCTGTGTAGTATTTTCAATCACAAGCTTTGCTATCAAGTGGCTGGTTAGTCAACTGTGACTGCAGAAACTTTGGCAAACACTGTTCCCTGTAAAGCAACCACAAGAAAGAGCCCAAAACTCATTTTGCCAGCTGGTCCCACAACTGTTTGCTGGACAGCTGTAAACATTAGGAGACAGAATTTTCAGTGTGTACCCTGAGGTTACCACCTGCACAGTGAATCCCACAGCTTTGCTCCAGTTCTTCCCCATACCAGGGTGACTGTGCAGAAAATGTGGCTTGGTCACAAGGTATTGAAGATTTTTTCTCAAGAATAAGTGACCTTATATTACCTCTCCTTCTAAGGTGTATTCCATGTTTGTAGGATGTGTACTGGAAAGGGGAGAGGAGGAGAATTATGTCTGCCTGTGCCCTGCTATGAAGCCCTCCCCAGCGAGAAGGGCCACGCAATACACACACTTAAACACACTTTTTAAACCTTGCTGGGACCATAGCTGCCTCACTGATGAGGAATGCTGGTGTAAGCAATACTGCTGCTATTTTAGACCTGAAGAAGGATTTGTGTGCCTGAAAGCCTGTCTGTTTTTTTTCCAACTGTAACAGCTGATCTAATAAAAGATACTGCCTTTCCTTAAAAAACCTTGAATTGCATTATTGTTCCCTTATTTCGTTGGGGTTTGGATCAGGCTGTAACAGCTGATGTTGTGCTGTTCAACAGGCAGTTGGCACTTCTGGGAGGTGTCAAAAAGAACACGCTGTCCTGTAAATGGTAATAGCAGATTTTACAAAGGAAGAAGAGAGGCTGCAAATATATCATTAGCCTACAGGGCACATTCAGCACAAATCAGCATGGGAAATTAATCCAGATCAAGCAAGTGTCATACCAAGCATGAGTATAATAGCAAATTACAAAACAAAAGCAAAACAACATACTGCTTATGGGCAGCTAAGTGAAGGATTTGCTCAAGTGTTAAAATCTGACATATCAGAAAGATAATATGAAATACTTCTGTAAAAATAAATTTAAGTATCATCTGAGATACCTTTTAGAGGCACTCTTTTAGATAATGATTAGGGGCAGTTTCTTTGCCAGAATTTTGCAGAATTCTGGAACTTACACTACAGTTTCTTTGCTCCAGTTCCCACTTGCACATATAAAATTCAAAGTGCATTGATCTTTGTTGTAGACAAATAAAATCACCATCCACTCTAAAAAACTTTTCAAACTCAACCCTTTTTCAAAGTCAAAATCATTAGGTCAAATCTAGATGAACTATGGAAAAGAAAAATCAGTACTCCATAAAAAAATTAATCAGCAAACATTTTGCTGGTGTTCTGGGCACTGTTCAAGTACCTCTAAGCAACAAGTACCAGTGTTCCCTCTCCCTGTGTCACTGAGGTCACTGCTTATATTCCCAGAAGAAATTCCACTTCAAGTCAATGAAGCTATAAATGCTTATACCAGAAGCAAACTTGATTTCTTTCTTTCCTAGACACACTGTGCCTCTAGATCAAAGTCTTCAAGCACCAACCTGAAAAGGGAGAACATATTGTAAGAAAAAAAACCCAAGTGCAGTGAAGAATCCTTTTTGCTACTCCAAACCTCTTTGCTCCTCATTATTCACCCCATTAAGTTGAAATCCCACTTTTTCCCATATGCACCTCTCTGGTTTACCTTTCCAAATTCAGAAAATATTCCATGCATGGCAGGGATAAAATCTAAATTTTTGGTGTGTAACAATATGATGGCTGGGCCTGGAATGACTCCAGAGGAGACCTGTGCCCATGACTTGCTTAGCCATAGGTTTCCTCTGCAAAGTCAGCCTAAACGTGTGTGTTTCCGTATGGACACTGCAGTCTCTGCTGGGGTGTCAAGTGCTCCTGTAACACAGCAGGAACAGATGTAAATGTGGAGGTGGACAAAAAGTGTGCAAGAACAGCTGCTGTATTTCAAGCAGCTACATGAAGACTTGGCCATCAGCCTTTGGCTGACACAGAAGCAAACGTGCTCTGATGCAGAAAGCAGGCGGCTCACGCAGGGTTAGGACACACCAGGCCCCACCGAGCAGCTCTGGATGCCTTTGCAGAGGTGGGGCAGCACTGCTCCAGGCTTTGCTTTAGGGCCAGATCTGCGGTGTGAAGGACTGACTGCACATGATGACACAAGCTCAGTGCCACCTGTAGGACTGCTCCTGCTTGTTTTCTGGTAACTGCTCACGTGCTTAAGGCCACTGCTCACAATGTACCCTTATAAAGAATAACTCCTCTGATACATAGCAAACAGTATTTCAGAGAAGCCAGCTTGTTTTGCCTGCAGCGATGGGGACCCCCGTCCCCTTCAATGGGGATCACATTTAACAGTTTTCACATATAATTTGTTGCCATAAAGACAATGGGCATCTCAGTGGAGATAAATCCTTTTACAAACTGTTTGGCCCTCTGCTCTTTCATGTGCCAGGTCTCCTTTTCAAAAGGGTTTTCTCTGAATTTCAGTTATTCATCTACTTCAGGCTGCCAGGCACGGATGAAAGGATCTATGAGGCTCACAGATAATTAAATTAGAGGCCTTGGTCTGCTCTGAAAAGCTGTTTTATATTTTCATTACCTCAAAAGGGATATTTCAATTACATTCCTTGTTTAGTAAACAAATTATAAACTGCAGCAAGTGTCCAGAATGTGCCTTTTCAGAGACACTGTGAAGGTAGCAAGTTTATGTGTATAGTGAGTGGTTTGTTTAAATCCCTTTTCCATCACCTCCTCCCAAATTCCAGACCTACACTATCCCCTTACACAGAGCATAGGAAGAACAACCAAGAAAGAATTTTCTTGCTACTTTCCCTCCTCCTTTATTTAAAATCTCTCCGTGCTGACAAGCCAGCTTTGACACAGGCTGGGATATGTTCTGCTATGTATTTCTT